AATCAAACAGGGCCAAGGTAAGAAAATTATGAATGTTGGTCATAGTGTAATGAAATAATAAACCACTGTATTTGTGTTCTTTTAACAGCATTTTTTCCTAAAGATCCTTCACTTTTTAAATTTACATATTTTTTTATAAGAACAATCCTGTATACTTGTACAATGTGTAATAACAGTAGGTGCAATCAATCAGTAGCAAGGTGAGGTTCGTGGTCTATTCTCATAAATAACAGACTATCTATCTTGGGGCCAGGGTGAAGGAGTGGGGGAGCCGCCGCAACTGCTAGGCGACAGCTGGTGACAGCTATCTTCACGGCCGTGTTATTTGTTTTAATTTTGTAATATGGGTTCAACAGTTAAAATAATATCATGATCAGACCAAGGTCCCACTAGAAAAACAGGTCATGCTGCAGGATCCATGACGTCCACATTAGTGAATAAGTGAATAGATTCATTGATAAATTATCACTGATATTTTGCAATATTCCAAAGGTAAATAAACTGGCTGTGTGTCAGATTGTCAGATTGTAAATGGTAAGATTTGAGTACAACTATCCACCACTGTGACGTAGTGTTGCGCTGCCCGTGCTGCAGCATGGCCTGTTTTTTTCTAGTGGGGCCTTGATCAGACACATTTTATCATTTACAAAAATTATTTTATTTTTTTTTATCAAAAACATTTAATCGCTAAAAAAAGTATCAACTGTGTAATGTGTGTCTAATTACACATGTTTCATAGATCATAGCGTTTAGATTATTTGCAGCACCGTTTGTGACTTGAGTAATAACATTTTTTGTTAGGTAACCAAGCACTGTCATACCGGTACGGTAAACTGCTGAGAGCTCATAGTTATTTTGAATTTAATGGTCAGTAATAATGAAACTATACGGAATTTTGTGTTTAAAGCTACCTGTAGGCTACAGGGAGTAGAGGCCATCCCCCACGCCTCGCAGATCAAACTGGATGTTTCAAGCGACCCCATTTTCTACCTGCCAGATTTCTTGAGCAGTTTGGATGTTAAAGAACAATGCTGGTACCCTCAGACCGCGGATCAGTTCGGACACATGTTGTGTGTATTCATGACACATCAAACGGTTCCAATCGTGAATATTCAAAATCCGCTGACACGGCGACTTTAGAGGCTTGAGGAATTGCAGTGCGCTGACGTTCTTCCAAACGTCGAGCAGCGATTCGTCAACACTCCTGCTCAAGATGATCTGCCTCTTGTTCTTTATTTTGCACGGCCATAAGATCTTAAAATTATTTCTCTACTTTTATTCTTTGATGCACGACTTTGCTGAGGTTTACAGACATTTAGTGAGATGTATGAGCTGGTTGGAACTAGCTCAGGTGTAGACAAAGAGGTGAATATTTTTTCCTGAGGATGATTGTAGCTTATCTACCTTTTGGATTATTTATAGATATTCGCTTTGGAGATCTTCTGTGTTTCATTCTTATAACCTTCAAAACATTTAACAGTAATGTATGTAAACCAAAATGAATACAACTATTCTTTATTTTAACGTTTATTCCAAAAGTAACCGATAGTCCGATACAGTTATTTTTGTTTACACATAAATTAAAATGATGACTAGAGTCTAAACCTTCGCTAAATCATCACGATGTTGTCCCCTGGCACTGCGGAGTGGGGGAAGCAAAGCATTCTATTGGCTGAGGGAACACCATTACCGCAACGATACGGTTTGTTTGTAGACACCGGCCTCGGTGGTCTAATGGATAACGTGCCGGGCTGAGGATCTGAAGGTACCAGGTTCGAATCCTCTCGGTACCACTAACTTTTTGTCTAAGATTTTTGCATTATCAGCAAGTTTGGTTAGTTTGGTTAGGTTATGACAGTTTAATTTGTTAATTAAAACATTATAAAATTCAATTTGAGCTATTATAATTTTAGAACTATTTTTTTTCTATTAGTAAACCTTGTTCGATTTTTCATTATCAGCAAGTTTGGTTGGTTTGGTTAGGTTATGACAGTTTAATTTTATAATTAATCAATTCTAAAATTGAATTCAAGGCATTTATAATTTTATTTTATGGACAGAACTATTTTTTCGATTAGTAAACCTTCATTCGATTATTATTTTATATATTTTTTTATATAATCTGCATGTTTGGTTGGTTAGGTTAGTTTATGACAGTTTAATTTTATAAATATTCATTTTTTAACTTATTGAAAAACTGCAGCATAAGGTATGATATGCATGTAAAACAACGCGGGCTTGTTTGGACGCCGTCTAGAGGGGAGGTGGAGGGAGAATCATTTCCCCCACTCCGCAGCGCCAGGGGACAACATCGTGATGATTTAGCGAAGGTTTAGACTCCAGTAAAATGATGACGGTAAAAATTATCTGTATCAGCTGTTTTTTTCCAGGCTTGTGACCAACTCCAATCGACTTCTCGTGGCCAAATACCCCAAAAAAAATCATCGGACAGAAAAAGGTATGCCTGTAGGCCTACATACGCTTGTATATGTTAAGTTACCACAACACTATCCACTAACCTCAAGAGCTGTAATAATCTAAACGTTAAATCATATAACCTTTAGATTATATGAGTAAATGCAGCTCTTGAGGATCCTGCCCTTAGGAGACGGCTTATCGAAATACCCCCACCGCAGCAAACCTGCCGTCTAAGCGAATTTACATTTAGCTGAATTGATTTTCAGTTGAACTGAATAACCGACATTACGTTTAACGAGTACCTAGGTTTGCTGCTACAAGGAAACTAATAAAGTGTGTTTTTTAGTAAAATAATTATAGCTTAGTATAAAATCAATATATTTGCCAAGTTTTATCAAAATATATCCATAAACAAGCAAACTACAACATTTTACAATATTCTCAATAAGAATAACAAGAGCATTTTATATTTACATTTTTTTAGCTTTCTCCATAACCAATAATCATACAAAAACACTTTGATATACTGTACTAAATTGTTTGTATTTAAGCTCTTTAAGGGCGTTTAGATAAAAAATTGGGAAATTTTATGTCTTGAGGGTTAAAAAGTCGAAAAACCAATTTTTACACCATAAAACCCCTTTAACATGGTCCGATCATGCTAGATAACAACGAAAACGACAACACTGTCAATTAACTGACAGCGACAGGTCACCGGTCAACGCCACCAGTCACTGGTCTGGTCGACTGCTCAGTGGTCAGAGGTCAGTGTCAGATCGTGTCTAATAGTAAAAATTGTGAAGTGAACACAGAACACATTGTAACAGCTGATCTATTTGCACTAGCTGAAAGGCTCCCGTTCGATAAAAAATACCCCCGCCACAGCAAACCTGCAGACTAAGTGAATTTCCATTAATCTGTCTGATTGGATTTCACCATAGATAAAACATACTATTTCACTAAAATGTCTCCTTAAAAATATCACACTTTATTCCTTATTTAAATATCATTTCGAGTACTTAGGTTTGCTGCAACAGGAAGGGTAAAAAGGTGTTTTTTGTAAAATTTTAATAGTTCAGCATGAAATGAATGCATTTTCCAAAATTTGATCAAAATATGCTCATAAACAAACAAACTACAACAGTTTACAATTTTCTCCAATAGAATAACATGAGAATTTTAAATTAATTTTTTTTTAATTTTATCCATAGCCATTCGGCGAAAAAAAAAACGCTTCAATATACTAAATTTTTGTTTTTTAAGCTCTATAAAATGCTTTGCTAACAATATGCTGCTTATTAACCACAATGTTTGTTCAAAATATTAATAAAATATGATTCTTTTAAATGGCAGCTTTTAAAAATATTTGATGCCAAATTCCACGAAAACAGTTAATTTTACAAAATATTTGCTGAATATGTAAAATCTAGTAAATTATGCAGATTACAACAAAATCTTATAAGCTTAGTTTGGAGTGTGAACAAATAATAACTGAAAAGTTAATTTTCTCTTGCCAAACCTCCAGTTTTGTCCATTTAAACAATTTTATAAAGTATTTCATCAATTTAATAAACAGACTGATTAATTTATAGCTGAACACAGTGACAAAGGTTCAGTGACAAGAAGCTCCCAAGCTTCTTGGACTTCATTTCGATCCTGAGCTCTCCTTTTCTGATCATGTGAGTTACGCATGCCAGAGAGCAATAGGTCGTCTGAGAATGCTGTACAGGCATCGTGACTTGTTCCCCAAACCCACCAAATTTCGGCTTGTGCAGGCACTTGTACTGTCTGTGTTTGATTACTGTCTTCCAGTGTATGGTAATGTTAATATCACTGGGAGACATGAGTCGGATGCAGGGGGTGCAAAACATGTGCGTCAGGTACGTCTGCGATCTGCGAAAATTTGATCGAGTTTCATCAGACCTCACATATCTTGGCTTATTGCCTATGGCTGACCTGTGCCTTTTGCGCACTTCCTGCATCATCCGGAGGGTACTGTCAGAGGAGAGACCTCAGTACCTGAAGGTAAGACTGAGAGCTCGCTCTGAGATGCGATCCCGATGCACACGGCAGGATGACATGCTGGAGATGCCCCGTGTGCGCTGTGAGTCCGACCGTTGTGGGTTTTCTTATTTTGCCCCTAAAATCTGGAATATATTGTCATCCAGGACTGAGCCAGGGGTGTTGGACAGTGAAAAGTCGTTTAAAAAATATATAACAAATGGCTTGAAGAATGGTAAAATAAAAAGGAATAGAGAACATATTTTAACTTTTAATTAGCCTAACTTAAGATTTGAAAGTTGCCTTTGTTTTATATTATTTATGTTGACGTGAGTTGTTTTGAAAAACATATGTTGTTATATGAAAAACGCTCAAGAATAAAGACGATTTTCATTTCAAAGTTTGCTCATTTTTGTTTGCAAGACCCTCTGTATAATTTGCTAGTAACATATATACTCCATAAAGTTTGTATATTCAATGATATGCCCTGTCTCTTTCTTAGTCCTAGTCTTCTTATTTCCTGAGACATGGCATGGCCATATGGATCTGGTGGTGTTCTCTTCTCTCTCTGTTCTCTTGTTCTTGTTGACGACGACGTAAGGATTTACTGTTTACGTTTACGTTTACTGCATCACTGAAAGTTTATTTTATTAGCAATATGGTACTATTCTAAATAAAACGTAAACAATATAGTCATAAGAGTATCGATTCTCATACTGGTGTGGAAATTGTTTCATTTAGAACTTAAGCCTAGGATTAATCTTCTTGAAGTATAAAACAACATTTAAAACTTGCTAAGCTGCTAGTTTGTATTTCGTTCTAAGAACATTGTCTTTGTAAGGAAACTAAGCATAACTTATCTCCTTTGGCTGTAAAAACAGGGGGTTTCTTACTATATTTCAAACCTTATAGCTAACTTCAAGTATTTAAAATTGAGGTTTGCTTGTAAATTTAGGCCCGTATAGTAACTAATTGAAGCATTTAATCACAATGTCGTCTACCTGGGAAGATGACAGTTTTCTGGACTTCAAAGAACTAGAAGACCAATTATCACAATTTGTCGATAAAAGTGAAATTGATGAAATGCTTAGAATACAGTTAGAAGAAGTGGAGATGTTACAGTCAATGTTCTCAAATCCAGGAGAATTTGAAATTTATGACCACAGTGTCATTGCAGACATCAATGAATTTGTTGAAGGTAAAAATAACAGCCTCCCTCCTAGGTTAGATTTTACCATCCATCTAGTTATTGATGAAAAGAAGCTTGAAGTTTGTGTTAATTTACCACTTAACTATCCAGCTGATGAACCAGACATTTTTGTACGCAGTGACTCGTTATCAAGAACACAACAACACGAATTAAACAGTGATCTTGCTAAACATATATGCTCCCTTACTAAAGGTGAGATAAGTATTTATCCTACAGTGGCCTGGCTGCAAGAAAATGCAGGTTCTTATTTTATTTCAAAGAACAGAGTTCCTAAAGGAAGCCACCCCGTAACGAGGAACACAGATGTCTGTGACCACTTCACGAGGTATTGGATATATTCCCATCATATTTACAGTAAAATTAAAAGAAGATGCATAATGGACCTGGCTCAAGAGTATAGCATCACTGGATTTGTTTTGCCTGGTAGGCCTGGAATTATTTGTGCTGAAGGATGGGAATCTGATTGCAGTGATTGGTGGCAGAGGGTAAGTTCATAGTCTAATTGAAGTTAATATTAAGTTACTCATTCATTCACTATTGTGACGTAAGAGTATACACAGGCTTGTCTATTTCTAGTCTTTGACACCAGTTAAGTTAAGCTGTAACTTAAGCCTAGTGCTATATGAACCGAGTAGGCCTACTGACTATAGGCTATAATTTTTAAAGAGTTCCAAGTCGCACAGTGGGTTTTATATAGTTAACAGTTAGACTGCACTTGGCAGTAACTTAAATGCACCTGGTGCTTATAGCCCTCGTTCCATTAAAAATATGGTGAGTAAGTTCTAGTCCATCACTTTTAGTACCTACAGGCTCTTAAATACCGCATCTAATTAACTCGGTTTTGTTCATCTGTAAATATTGATTGCTCAGAGTTGTGATTTGGATTTTAGTTGGGAAGGCTAAGTATTTGGTTAAGTAATGTAACTTGGAGGGTTTTTAACACTGACTTAAATTTACTCAGAATTGTGTAAACTCGGTTTAGTTTAACCTGAGAATAGGCCTACTGATCATTGGGAATTGTGATATTTTTTTGGTGTGATGGTTTTGAATCCTGAGAGCTTGGAATTACAAGGCCATCCAGAAGGTAACAGGATTTTGGCCTGGCACGGCAGTGGGACAGGCTATCATAGCCATCTTCTTGGCATCAGAGTTTCCAATTCCACACACTTTACGCAACCAGCTCCAGCTTTGGTAGCTATATTCGATAGTGCTCGCCTATTGATCAATCAAAAGGTTACTGGATCGATCCTGAGAAAACTCAGTACTGGTAGCCTAACTGTAGGCCTAGCTTTTTGTTGGTTTGAAATTGGCCCCTGCTGTTCCTGATCATTGGGCTTTGAATAAATGATCCTGACTAGGCCTAATGGAACAACTGATCATAGAAGAAACTGAGAAGGTTTTTTTCAAACCAATTTCTAGTTCATCAACTAGTTTAGTGTAGGCTATTTTCTACTCTCAGATTCTTTGAATTCAGAGATCAGGCGGTTACAAAGTGTCTTGATAAGGTGTTTGACTAAGTGGTTTCTCTAGAGAGTCGGAAAGTAATTCGGCAACATCAGTATCAAGGTTTCCAAGAATGTGATAGGTAGTATTTTGTCCGTTCTTATGATATTTTTAACAATAAATTGTGCGTCAACTTGGCGTGGTAACCAAACCTTCTAATTTTTTCTCCAAAGGGTTAAGTTTTGACGGTTAATTTGGAGAGATCATCTAAATTGGTTGATAAGTTAGGATCAGTGACATTATCTTCAGTGTCTGACATTTTTAGGCCTAAACTAACCTGGGTTTGGCTCTGACTGATGATAGTTGAGGTTTCTTGGAGATGTTGACGTCTTGAAAAATTTGCTTCAATGTTGCTACGTAATTATCACGTTGTTGGTCACCAGTGTGGTTAGTGATGATGTACAATGATTAATAAAATAATAAAATTTTAGAGGATTGTATGGACAAAAAGTACATCATTAAAAAAAAAAGGTAGGTAATGAAGAAAGTAAATATTTAGTTAACAATAATTTCCAATCCCCTCGGTATGTTTTAATGACAGATGACAGCCACAAAGTAAACTACACTTAAAACTTACCGTTATCTAATTTTTTCAAAGGACCTAATGATGATAGAAAAGTCCCAAATAAAGCCAAAACATGGTAAAGTCAAATGACTGTCGTGGAATAGCCTAAATTATATACTTGTAGGCAAGAGTCAATAAAAATTCTTATTGTTATAGCCTACCTAGGCCTACCTTTAGTAATATTAATCAATGCTTTCCAGTACATACAGTACAGAACTTATTGACAAAATTAAGATACAAGCAACAATTTTGTTACAAGACAGTATGTTTATTTACACAGTAACATTCTGTAGAGTTTAGCGTATTGTTCCCACCGCCGAGCGTTGGAGCAGAAATGCCGAGATTCCTAGAAAGCTGAGGTTAAATCGAACTGCCCTCAGAAAAAGGTCAGTTAGGTAATAACAAACTGTAATATTTTACTAGCGAAGCCGGAAAATTTTCATTATCGGTTGATGCGAGGTTGGTCTTCTTTAATTTGTTTGTATCAGCTGAGTGGAATTTGTGTGTTTGACATTATTTAGTTTACAATAAAAGTTAAATCAATTATAAACATTGTGAGTCTTCTCATTGTTTCCGTGGAGACCGTTAAATATTTACTCTTAAAAGCCTCGCTTCACAACTTTTAAAGCCTATGGGGCAAAGCTCTCAGTCAGTATCGCAGCAGGAATAGTCCTAAAATGATACTTAGAATACTGTAGTAGGTAGCTATGAGAGTGGTTTAAAACAAAAGAATATTACCTTCTGACGCCAATTGGTTCACGCTAATTACACACTAATTAGTAGCCTAAAATTTTTTTTTTTTTCTGTTTGTATGAATGTTCAGCAGTCATGGTGGGGAAGTCGTCTGGTTGCCCGTTGTTGCAATATTAACTAGCCCCTCTACTATATTTAACAATAGTATACTATAGTTAACAATAGACCTTGCTTCGAGTGGACCTGGTTTGCAGCACCAGCGCTTTGGTGACAACTTAGAGCCCCAATTTCTTGTCACGAGGTGACTGAGCTCGCAGGCGGCATAGTTCTTCAACAAAGTAATTTCATTCTTTGGGACTATTTAGACAAGTAGTAGTCAATTTCAGTTACTCCTTTAAACAACACATTTCAAACGTTCCTTACTTTCTAAACAACTCTCATATACGTATTTTTGTAAAATTTAATCCCAGTTAGTTGAGTAGCTTTTGTGTGATAGAGTAATACTTTGACCAATAGTCAATGGTAGCAGACAGACACCATTAAATTTTTATATAATAATAGGAGTGGCCTAAATAACACGCCCACAGTGTGGGAGGGCGCCGACATCCAGGGGGCGCCGAGGTTCGACAGTGACCGATTAACGCAATCACGAAAAAAGGTGACATAATTTCCGAAACGACGGGAGACGATGATGATGTCTTCAAGACCAAAGAAGACATTCATGATTTGGCCTCAATCGTAAAAATAGAAGACGTTGTTTCCGTGATCGTGGGCAGTGCCGGATTTAGGGTACTTGCGGCCCTAGCCCAAATTACTTGAGCGGCCCTCCCCCTGTGGTGGAAATTCCTCGCAATCGTGAAAGTAATCGTGAATGCACCAAATCGAGGAAATAACCTATGCATCAAAGAGACAACATCATCAACACCCGTGATCGTCGATGAAATCGTGGACATCTCTCCTAAACCAAGTCAAAGGCATCAAGGTTATCTGTGACCGTGACCGTGGCAAAATCATTAACAAATCTCGCGGGCTGCAACAACGGGACATCATCCTCAAACCTCGCGACCCCAGCGAAATCGTGATCATATCCCGTGAGCTGTGACCTTGAGGACGTCATCACTGTCACCCGTGACCACAGTAAAATCGTGAACATCTCAAGTGGGCTGCATTCACAGGGACATTATCATCGACACTTGCGACTGTGGCAAAATCGTTAACATCTCCCGTGAAACAGCAATCACGGGTACATCATCATCGACACTTGCGATCGCAGCAAAGTCATAACACATCTCCTGTGGACTGCGATTATGAGGACATCATCATTGTCACCTGCGGCCAGGCCAAAATCGTAAACATCCCCCTCGGTAAGCCATCACTGGGACATCCTCATTGACACCCCCAGCCGCTGCAAAATCGTTAATATCTCCCGTGAGCCGCAATCACGGGAACATCATCATCAATACTGGGAGCCGCGATGAAATCATGAACATCTTCCGTGGGCCGCAATCACGGGGACTTCATCATCGACACTCGCGAAAGCGGCTGATTCTTGAATGACTCCCGCGGGCTTCAATCATCCGCGGAACACATCACCGTCATCCGCGGCCATGGCTAAATCGTGAACGTCTCCCACGGGCCACAATCACAGGGACATCATCATTGACAACCCGTGACAGCGGCTAATTCTTGAACGTCTCCCTGCGATCATGATGGCACATCACCGTCACCCGCGGCCGCGGCTGAATCTTGAACGTCTCCCGCGGGCCACAATCACGGGGACATCATTATCAGCACCCGCGGCCGTGGCAAAATCTAGAACATCTCCCTCGGTCCGCGGAGACATCATTATGGTCACCTGTGATTATGGAAAACTGGTGGTTAAAAAAAAATTATTTTTTAATCTAAAAAATGTTTTTCTCAATCCTCTGCTGCTCCCTTTTGCTTGCGACCTAGTGGTTAATCCGGAACTGATCGCGGGGACGACGATGATGTCTAGAAGACTGAAGAAGATATTCACGATTTTTTGCGCAATGGCAAAAAAAGATTACGTAGTTTGTTTGACTGCGGGAGTCGAAAATGATGTCTATAAGACCGAAGAAGATATTCATGATTTTGGCACAATTGCAAAAAAAAAGATTGAATTACTTCCGTGACCGCGGGAGACGATGATCATGTCTACATGAACGCAGGAGATATTCAATATTTTGCCGCGATCACCGATAACTATGACGATGTTTCCATTACTGAGAGAGTTGATTAAAAAACGTCCGTGAGAGTTTTTGGATTTTGTTGTGATCACGGCTTTTGGTTAGATAAACGAAGAAAACATAAGTGGTGATGTATTTTTGGGGAGGGGGGGCGCTATCTACATGTAGGCCTAGTGCGGGTAGGTGTGCTTAATGTACCTACGCCACTGATAGATAGATTTAGCTTTGGGAGCTCTGGTCAATCGAAATTCAATATTAACCCAGAAACAAAATCATTCCGAATCATGGGATGATCCCTTTCTAATGTTTTTCAGAAGAACAATTATTTGTTTTACTTGTGTATTTCAGCAAACCTACATTGAACCAATGTCATATTTTACTACATAACATGTGAGTCGTTGGCTCAGTCGGTAACGTCGCGGACTTCGGGCCCAAGGCAGCGATGTCGTGGGTTCGGATCCTGGTCACTGCCACTAATATTTATCAGTACAGTTCACCTTCGTACTGTACCGGCTCACTCCTTGCTTTGCTGTAAACGATCCACACACGGGCGCTTAGTCTATGTGGACCGGGTCAATGCAAGGTTAAAAGAGGCCGCCAACCTCTTTTTTTTTTTAAAAAAGAAAAGAGTAGGCCTAGAAGTGGTTGTTCAATAAGCCGTTTTAGCTGCGATGCAATCCCATGGTTTACTATAAGCCTGGCCCTCTGTTTTAAAAGGCCTAGAAGTAGAATATTGTAATAGCTCTAAAATTGTACTGTATTCAATTGGAACTATACTAAAATGGAACTGTAGGTAAAAAAAGTTTACATCAAAAATGGCTTTTGTATTTTTAATAAGAGGTTTTTTTTTTCTAGATTCGTTGCATGAACTGGAAAAAGATTATGTGTAAAAAGAAAGAAGAAGAAAATATATCCAAGGATTTCAACATGGACGCACTTCGTAAATTTACAGGTTTCAAGGAGATATCTTTTGAAGGAGGAAAATCAAAGTCTCGGGAGAGTCACATGAACATGGGTGAATTCTATAAGTATCTTTCAGATCATGAATGTAGTTATGTGTTCAAAGAATATTTTGGAGTGGAAGGCAAAGTTAGTGGCTCAGATAAATGACTTAAACTGACAAAACTTGACAATGATATTGAACATTGATTGGCCATATTTTTGATACATGAACTTTTACAACACAAAACCTACATGGTTTACTACTCTAATTCTGTCCCTTGCGTTGTAGTACTACGATTAATTTAGTAGTACTGGCGATGGCCGGAGGCCATCAGTAATCAAATTAACTGCTTCAGACAGAATTAATTGTTAGTTAAGTATTTTTAATAAATCATATAAAAAAAAATAGAATCATCCTTTTACAATTTCCCTCCAAATTTTCTTAAGGATTTATAACCGAATATAACGTCTAAAATCATTTCTATTTTACCTGATAGTTTGTTCAAGTCAATGTCAGGATAACTTCTCTTGTTAATCACATGATTTTCTGACCCAATTCTAAAAGTTCGTCTCACTTCATTTACATAATTGTTGATAAAATTGTTTACCTCAACTTCTCTGGCATCCTCTGAAATTCAATAAGATAGATCATTCACTGTCATAATTTGTGCTATAAAATGTATATGCTTATTCATGATTGATATTTATACATTTAGTTCCTGTACATATAAAACTTGTTTGTTATTTTTTATATCGATTAAATACAATTCTTACAATTAATTTTCATCATCTTGTAATTTCTATTGTACCTGTTTTAATCCAAAAAGTCACGATAATAACACATCTGTGAATATGAAAGAAATTTAGCAGTTGTTATTTTAAAGCTTAATTTTCCTGGCAGCTAGGATAGATAATTTTATATCCGCATCCGTTGTCTTTACAGAGAAGCCAAAAGACACGGGTAATTACACAACATATGATTTGTTTTTACATTCCTTAATTAGGTGATATCTAGTAAAAAACTTGAACAGCCTATAATGATACAAAGCTGATCGAAGGAACTATTACAATGGCTGCTGAGTTGCAAGTTATTCTTTGGAATAAGTAAATGAATAAAACCTGGTACAAAGGGTTATCAAGCTAATGTTTTATACCATTAAAACTTACAAACTGTCAAAAGTAGAGTAAAAAGTTGTACTTGAGTATGGATTACACTTGCCTGTTATTGAGTTAATGTCTTGAACATTCTGTAGCATCATCCATACCAACAAAATAACATTTCCGTAAAGCTTCATTCTGGTTCAATTTAATTTTACCTGCAAACAAAATGAAAATTATTAACTTTTCTTTTCTTTTGCATTTATAAAAATTACTCTTTAGGCTCAAAGCTCTCAAGACAATCTTTCACTTTAGATGAACATTGGATGATGTGTGTAAACAGCCTGGCCAAAAGATAAGGATATTTTGTACCCCAAAGTCAGTGTGCCTTTCAATTTGAATTTATATACTGTGTAGCCTTGTAGTTTGTGGAGAGGCTACTGAAGAAATTCATATTATGTCCTTTTGAAAAAGTGTCACATGGCAGTGATCGATAAATTTACCAAACTCAACCTGACTTTACCGTAGGCCTACTCCAGGTCACTTTATCAGTCCCTCTATGGAAACAACGACTTGGGTGAAAACATATAGTGGAGCGGCAAAGCTAGAGTGAAGCGAAGAGCGTAGCTAAGAAAGAGTTTTTTTTACCCCCGATTGTAACGGCGCTTCACATGCACATAAAGGACCGGTGAAGGGGCTGGAAAACAGTACTTTTGAATATTCATTTAACCTCCTTTATCCAACATGGGGGTTAAGTGTACTAATTTTGTGAAGAAACCAACTTGTGGTGAGAATAGTAAAACACAAGAAAGTCCCCATTTATATTGTATCCATACAACTGCTTATGTAACCATTATTCATACAACAACGCTTCACTATATTAAATTTTTTAAGCTCTACAAAACAGTTTGGAAAGAAATTGAAAATTTTTATGTTTTCAAGGTAAAAAATTGGAAAACCCAATTTTTACTTCATTAAAGTTCTCATGGTCCAATCATGCTGCTTTGAGAACTCGTTCAAATAAATGTAGGTTTACACATTCATACCAAATTTCATCAAAATCATATCATCATTTTAGAGAGCTGAAAACCCTACTGTGGCTGTTTTATAACTATGAAAAGTGCATTTTAATGACGGTTTTACCATTGAAGCTCAACCCTCGACCAAACCTTAAAGATAAATAAATCCGAGTAGAATAACGGGGCGAAAAGGCTAGGTGTGTTGGCGTGGGTACCAGCTACATTCTCCACTACACTATGTTTTGGCACACCTTCGTAATGGATTATTTAAAATCCGATCAGCTATGCTCTAGCCTCACCGTTCCACTATTTTTTCACCCTTTCTCATCTATAGAGTTTAAAAACCAGCTGCTTATTGTGTAGGGTGGTGAACACTTCTAGGGTCGACACTTTTCGACCCAAGCTCAAGTTTTACGATATAGGGGAAGCAATGGTAGGAAAATGAACGAGGGTTGAAAAGACACTTTTTGCCCGTGTTATGAACTATATTTTTTGTCATATTGCACCATTATTTTAACCAACTACGTTACAAAACTAAAATAGTTTAAATTTAAAGATACCTCCTGAAACTACTTCTAACTTGTTTTCAATTTAATTTGCTAATGGAAACAAGCAGCTGTTTAGTTTGTTATTCAATAATTTTGTCTATTACGATAGTGTGTAGTGTTAGTGTACATTATACTATGTTGAACTATTTACAATAAGGCAACAATAAGCTACAATAGATTAAACAGTTGATACACACTCTCAATACATGCGATTGTTTACAATAGAAATTTTCAACTGAGATGACAGCTGATTTTTACTCCCTAGGGGCTAAAAAGCTTTAGACCTGCAACGCATCCATTAAAAACGACTGTTTTTGCTGCAGTGTGACAGAAAATGTACTTTAACACATTCAAAAAAATACTTTACGATCACTTTGTATACAAAAATACAAGAATAGCTTATTTAATTAATTGTTCCTTTAAATTTAAAGGAACAATGAGATCAATACGCAGTAAAATTTATCAGTTTAAAAAAATGGTAAACCATTAACTATTAAGCATTAACTCGTGTTAAATACCATTCAACCATGATGTTTTTTTTAAATACTATTAAATTAACTAATAATACTAATGTAATAGATACTATAACGAAAGGTATAGTCAGTAAAAAGACCAGAGGGTTTGGACCAGTTGACCAGTCCCTTAAAAAATAACCGTAAAAAATGCCAAAGGCGTAGGTAAACCACGCTGTAAAATCTTAACTTGTACAAACAAATCATATTGTAAATAAATAGGTTCTTAATTAATTTGATTTCAAGGTTTTATATTCATTTATAGTACTTAAGTAATCATAATTGAACATGTCGCATCGGGCCAAAAATATTAATTCCTTTTGCAGTAATTATATCTTAGATCTTATACACTATAATGGCTTAATATTTAATTAGATGTAATCATTAAACGTTTTTAATGGAAACCAATATTTTCTTCAAAAGTTAGTTATGTGTTGTAGCATCAGTAACCATTTCACACAGAGTATTGCTGTTTTTCCTGTTGTCTAGTATATTTTAAGTCTGATTGTTGTTCAAATACTCTCATAAGCAATTACAACTACAACTTAATCATAAGCAAGAAATTGTTTATGAAACATAACATAAACATATTTTGAGGATATTCATTACTTACCAGTCCTTTTCAGGAAGTGAAATAATAAGTATAACTAAGTTATTAGATGTTGGATAGACTATGTTCAAGTATGTATTTTTATCATCAAACTCAACAGTTCAAAACATGAAATATAGTGATGGAGTTCTACCTCAGGTCAAAGGTGGATAGGATACCTGTACCAACCTATCCTCTGAGTATAAGCATGTCTCTTTGGTATAAATTAACAGAAATATATATATAAATTTAATTAAATTATATATATATATATACTTATATATGTTTATTATGTTTCCTTATTTTGTTTCTCTACTGCAGAATAATCTATTCGTAAACTTAATTTTTATTCTTGATTTTTCGTTGTTTCAACTTTTATATATGCTAAAAGCCTTGAGTGACGCATTGTAAAAATGAGTAACAAAGATTTGATAAATTTTATTGAGATACATTTTGATTTTATTTTGAATTATTTCAAACTGCCTACCATGCATAATATTTTTTTATGTAAGCATTGGTGTAATAAAAGGCTGACTTAAATAATTGTTTTACCAATATTGTACAAGTTTTTTTCTGAATACAAATATTTGATCGAATTTTCAGTTTTGCACTCTGGAATCAGCATTACTAAAGTGTCTCCCAAATAAATTGCATGTTAAATTTTATGGACGTCAAATTTCTTAAGTTTAACTTTTAAAAGACAGTCAGGATGAAGGATTATATCAGCCAGGATTGGTTATTATATTAGTGATGGTATTATTGATGTGAAATGACATCTTAGTTATAGAAAAATGCTAATATCTTATTTATTGCTTATTCTTGTTCAGCATATAGGAAAAACATTTGCCGTAAATGGTGTTTAAAAAAAAAAAAACTTTAAAATAATATAAAATATAAGAAAAATATGTTCATTACCATATACAGGAATTTACTCATATTTCATTGGTAATTTTAGTTTTAAAATAATTCGGGAGTATGTGTGCTGCGGCTGACTTGAACGAAACTACAGAAAACGTACTATAGTAGTATGTTTACTGTGACGAAACACAATGCAGAAGAAGTCCAGTTTTCAATCCCTTATTTAGCATTTGGGGCCATTTACTGGCAATAACGCAAGGAAGTTTTGCTTCCAAATCGTCCAACGTTTGTGGTTTATTGAGATGGACTAGTTGCTTTTGAATCCACATACAATACTCCATTGGTGTCAGATTGAATGGTCGTGGAAACAAGTTCACAGGTCCATTACACAAAATGTGATTACCAAATGTTTCTTTCAGTAAGACTTGTTTCACATGCTATGTATAGCAAATAGTGATAATATCATGCTGAAACCAAAGATTTTCTTCATCGTAATTTAATTGGGGAAGGAAAAAGGAAATAATCATAGCTCTTTAGCACTCTTCATTTTCAGTAACAATAATATGAGTAAAATCGTCTTTGAAAAAATATAGACCAATGAGCCCACTCGCCCACAATGTATACCAAACTCCAGTAACTTTTAATGGATGCAACGGGATTTCAAAAAATGTTCTTGAATTTTCTTTAATCCAAATATGGCAGTTTTATGTACTGATAAACCACATACGTTGGACGATTTCGAAGCAAAAATGTATCATGTGGTTGCTGGTAATTGCTCTAGCTGCTGATTAAAGTAAAGGGAAACTTTTGACTTCCAAATCACTCTTCATTCGAGCCAACCGCAGCACCCATATATCCAAATTTATTATCAAACATTAAATGGTAACAAGTGAAGTGATGAATACATGATGAGAGGAAAACCAAGCAGCACACTCAGGCATACCATAAATAAAAAAAGGGACTTGCATGGTTTTTTTTAGTTTAAAAAAATCATCGATACTGTCAAAATTGTTGATGGGTTGATCAGGAGGAGACATTCCACACACTTTTTCGATAGTTTGTTTGGAATGTTCTGGAAGCATAGGCAATTGGGCTGGAATGTTCTGCTAACAGTGTCGGCACAAGTGTACAAGTGGATTAGTAGATGTCGCTTGCACTTCTAGCGCCCGCAACCTCGATCATCTGTCATGATATTTGATGAGTGACTGAAAGATTAAACGATTGTAAAAAGATTGATAAAAAGATTTTCTTACAGTCAACAGTGGTTCAGGCACTTGGTTCCTTTTACAATTCTTGCTGCCTTTTTTGGTGAATCAGGACTCTTCAACTTCACGAGCAGCATATCACAAGTCACCAACATAGGGTGGCGGAATTTTACCCCCCAGGTTAGTGTTTATGGGGTGCAGGTTGAGCAGATTAGTGACGTAACGATGACGTCTCAGTATTATCTCGACCAAAAAGGTGTGTACAGGCTGGAATTGTATCCCCCTCATAAAACTTTGATATTGTTATGCATGCACGAGTGGTTTCATTAAATCCACTGGCATCTAAAAAACTGTACGGGCCGGAATTGTACCCCCCTGGAATTTTATCCCCTGGTGACCGCAGAAAAAGATGTAGCCTACAGCCAGGAAATGTACCACCCCCCATTTTACTGTAATTAATAAGTGTGTGGCATCAAAAATAAATATAATAATATGCGTTAAACTACAAACTTTGAATAGACTTGAATTCTACGTAATACCTTAACTAATTTGACCGCTCTGGACTTTTACTACTCTATATTATTAAAAGGATTTGTTGGATTTTTGTCTGCAGTAAATCGACCCCTAAATATTTATTTTTATAGGCATATTGGGTATCAATTTAAAGCTGTTATCCTCTAGATGTGCCTTTTACGGGTTTAGGGTTATATCCCGTGAAAGCCCTTCGTTCTATAGGCTTTTAAAATGTCATAGTTTGTGCTGAATTCTGTCTTCAATCATCTGAACTTTTTCAAGTTTACATTTGTTTTACATCAAAACATGGCCATGGTACAATTTTGTTTACACCCATACGAAAATGGGGTTACCTGTTGTTTGGTGATGTTTCAGTGGATTTAAGTAAAATGTTGTAATGTTTAATGTTATTTGTATAAAATGTAAAGAAGAAAATTACTTACATTAGATTTTGTGTTGTGATAGGATTTTGTGTTTTCATAGAATAGTATGTTTAAGGGAATTCAAGTAAAATACTGTAATGTTATTTGTTTAAAAAGTAAAGAAAATTACTTACGTTAGATTTTGTGTTTTTATAGTATGTTTCATTAGTATTTCTAATTTTTCTAAGATACCTGGAAGAGATTTGAAATTTTTTTCCAAAACCGTTACTTGTAGCACCACAGTAAAGCTAATTTTAATATGAGAGGAGGCTGGCGTGGGCTGCCAAGCACCCTAACTCCCAGGATGCTGGGAAAAAAACAGGGCGAGGGCAACACCCCCAAAGCTGACTCTAATGAAGCCTCCAGGAAGAAAGATGGAAAGAGGGGGGCGAAAAAAGAAGACGAGGACGAAAGAGAGCGAGAGGGCTCGGGTGTTTAACAGAGAGCACCGACATCCACCTATTTGGAGATACTGTCTATGGAGAAGTTGGCTATCACCAAATCTGAACACCCGGACTGGAAACGGGCGGAGGCTGAAGCCAATTAAATCAAGGGGGAACTGTCCAGGTGGGCCATTCGTGGCAAAGACGTCAGCCCAATCCCAGTAGTTTATGTGTGATTGAGCAACACACAAACACACACTTAAATGCACAAACTTTTAGATTTATAATATTAGTATTAATATTATATTCTATATAATATAATAGTATAATAATATATTCCACTGCTATGTGGAAACCTACATTTATTTGAACGAGTTCTCGAACCAGCATGATCAGACTACAGTATGGGAACGGGGGTTTATGGGGTAAAAATTGGTTGTTCCATGTATATTTGCTATTCTTGTATTTATTTTTGCAGACCATCTTGTTTTGATATGTATTGTTTAATGGCATTTGCCGTAGAAATGAATAAATGAAACAATTAGTAAGATCATGAGATGCCAACCCCGTATGAAGGACGGGTACACTGCTATGTGGAAACCTACATTTATTCGAACGAGTTCTCGAACCAGCATGATCAGACTACAGTATGGGAACGGGGGTTTATGGGGTAAAAATTGGTTGTTCCTATTTTTGACCCGAAAAACATAAAATTCAGCAATTTATGTACAAACCATTTTGTAGAGCTTAAAAAACAAATAATTTAGTCCAATGAAGTGTTATTATGCGCCTAATGGTTACGGAGAAAATTAAAAAAACCCTGTAAATTCAAAATTCCCATGTTATTCTTATGGAAAATAAGCAAACTGTTGTAGTTTGCTTGTTTATGAACGTATTTGATCAAATTTGGAAGATGCATTTATTAACTAAACTATTAACATAAAAAAAAACACTTTACACGCCCTGTTACAGCAAACCTAAGTACTTGTCAACGGTCAAACTAATTCTATTTAAATAGGGAATAAATGTGATGTTTTTAAGGAGACATTTTAGCCTCTAGACAATGTTAATCCAATCAGGCAAATGGACATTCGCTTAGTCTGCAGGTTTGCTGTGGCAGGGGTATTTTTTAAAGCTTGTTACCAAATCTATTTGATTGAGCAAATAACTGTTGCAAAGAGACATTGGGATTTTTATGGGCCTACTTTTATACCATGGTGGAAGGAAAATACATTTACCTTCCACCATGCTTTTATACTGTACTTTTCATGAAATATTTTGTTGGCTGCTTTTAAACCACTTGCTACAATAAACACTAAACAGACAGCTGATTTTAGGTATTTTTTATGGTTGCCGATGGTAGTTTTCCACTATTTCCAGTCTCCACTCTCCAGTCAAGTCAAGTCAGACTGGCACTCGCAGTGTTTTTATCAAACTCCGTGTTTAACTAACTTACTTTTCTCTTTTCTTTAGCTAGTTGAAGTTTTCAGATTCTTCACTGAAGAATATTGATTGTTTTTGCAGTTATTTATTCATTCTTAAACAGCGGAGTCAATGACTCTTTAAGGTGTATTGTTCTAGTTGTAATTTAATTAATTAGTTGGACCGTGGAATTGGACATGGAACGACATACATCGTATGAAGTTGTAAGTATATAGGGTAGCTTAAGGTCCAAATTAGCCTACTGTTTTATACAGACACCACCATGGTTCTATAAATCAGCTAAGGCCTATTGATCAAGAAAGCGATTGATCAAATTAAGCAATATTAGGCAAGGCCTTGTCAAAACAAAATACTTTTTGGTCCATGCACTAAGCGTAAAAGTACATAGCCTAAACCAAAACACCATAAAAATACAGAGAAAACTAAATAAAGTACTGAAATCATTTTTGTTTCAAAGGCTTAAGTTAGCCTATCTAAGTTAAGTTAACTTTTGTATAGCCTAAATACTTAGTCTGTACATTGCTCAGAATTATACATTTTTTGTTACGTTTTATACATTTAATATGCCGAAACAAGTCTTATCTCGGGGTACAGTTTCTTAACTGGGCAATGCTAATACCGATTGAAACTATCGATTCGATTAGTAACTTAGCCTAACATAAGTTTAAACCTTCATTCAATTTTTTCTCTATCAGCATTTTGACGTTTTATACATTTAATATGCTGAAACAAGTCTTATCTCGGGTACAGTTTCTTAACTGGGCTAATACCAAATGAATGCTAATACCAATTGAAACTATCGATTCGATTAGTAACTTAAACGTTCATTCAATTTTTTCTCTATCAGCAAGTTTAGATTAGTTAGGTTAGGGTAAACTGTTTAGTGTATGACAGTTTTAGGCAAGTGAATAATTAGAAAATTCATAACAAATGATTTAAAAGGGATAAAATAACCAGAGTAACATAATTGGTTTTATTGTTTAGTTAGCTTTAATTGGATATTAGGCTATGCATAATACTTTTTACATCCACTTAAGTTATCACAAAAAAAAATAATAATATGGTTGTATGTCAGTTGTCTAGTGAATGACACTATATTTCTTAATGTGATACTGGTCAATCTAGTGTATGACACTAACCTTTTATTGTGTTTAGTGTATGGCAATGAATGAAATGTAGGCCTAATTTGGCAGTCAGTTAGCTTAACTTAAGCCTAAAATGGCATTTTAAGTTTAATCCAAGTCTTCTTCAGGTTCAGATAACACAAACAGGTCGTTTTCACTATCAGGCTCACGTTTGTGACATAGGCCTATAAATGCCAGGTTCATCATCGTCGTCATCCTCTTCTTCTATTCCAAAGGTATCACGGTGTTTTTTTTTAGGAATACACTTGTAATGGTAAGCATTTTTGCAAGTGTCACAATTTATCCTCGTTTCTACCCAGTCCAATGATTAATTCCGCAGAAAATCTTTTCTTGCACACTTGGCAAATCCAATCGTCATCTTCATCCTGAACCAGTTTTCTTTTACACACTTTACTTTTCTTTTGGGCTGTTTTTTTCTTTTCTTCTCTAATCCTTCTTCTCTCAGCTTTCTTGTCTTCTTCTTGCTTCTTTTCAGCTCTTTTCTTTTCCTCATAGTACAACCATTCTTTACTGTTCACAACTTATGGTAATTTGTTGTCCTGGATTTCTTCTTACACTTTTGGGGGGTACCAGGCCAAAACAGGTTGTTCTTGAAAGGTGATGGAACATCTGCTCCCCCTGTTTGAGGTGATAGCACCTTAGCCAGTTTCTCTTTAGATAGAGTGGAGCCACTAGTACTTTGCTCTGCCATAGAAGTAGTAGCCTTACAAGGTGTTTCACCTTCTTTTTGTTGGCTAACTATTTCATGCTCTTCAGCATCAATCGTGGGGTTCTCAAGCTCGTCAAGATTTGCTGGGTCTTCAGTTACGCTAGGCTGATAAGATTTCTTCAGAGTCATTATCTTCTGCAGAATTGTTTGATTTTGACTTGTTCTTCAATTTTTTCTTTTGAGATCTGATATAGTCGTTGGCTTTTTTCCATGCCACATATAAATCATGGCTACATTCATCTCCATTCCAGATAGATGTGAACTTATTGTAAGTGGTTTGAAACTTAGAAATAAGATCTGGGGAAATAAACGATTCAAAGAATGTCAAACATTCCTTCCCCACTGAATGAGTAGGCTTGTTCTGAATGCATTGTTTTGTTTAAAATATCGACTTTACTGTAGTCCACTGCTTCTTGATCAAATGGACAAAGACCACAACGAACAAAACCATTCTTGATGGTATCTTGAACCATTGTACCTATTATCAAAGACAGTTTTGAGCATGGGCACAAAGTTGTATTTTGTTAACCAATCCCCTCCATTGGTCATCTGCCACGAGTGTACAGCCTCTTGCCAACCTTTCTTAACTGGACGAAACACAGCAACATCCAGTGGTTGCATTATATGTGTACAGTTTGGCAACAGCGCTATTAACACAATGTTGTTAGCAGAACAAAACTTACTCAGATGGTATGTGATGTGTGATTTGTGGCCATCAACAAATACAATCACTGGAAACTTGATTTGAGTCAATCAACCACTTATAAAAGTACCTAATTTGTAAAATATTCATAATATACCTCGCTTGTTATCCACCCGGATTCCGATTTGGCAATAATCCATTCATCCGGCATGTTCAATTTCAAAGCCTGAGGCAGTCTTTGACCTGGATAAACAATCAACGTTGGGGCGACTTGCCCTGCTGCGTTTACATTGGCTAGAACAGTGAGATTTTCCTTATCACTTGCTGAGCTCACTTCATAAACATTCTTCTGCCCTTTGATGCCCAGGACACGATAACTTTTTGGACAAAGAAAAAAAAGGCTGTTTCGTCCATATTGTAAACACGAGCAGGATCAGTGATTCCTTGGAAAAGGTTATTTTCTTCTAGATATGACCTAATTTCAGCAAACCATCTCTTAATGTTGCCTTCTGTGAGATTGGCTCGAATTGAACTTAATTTTTCTACAGTTCTCTCGGCTATTTGGGGTTTTCTTTTTAAAAACAATTTTAACCAAGTATCTCCAGGCCTACCCCCTGGAAACTTGTCTAGAGCATCCATATCTTTCAGTATTTGCTGCACTAAGGTTATTAAATCTTTTTTTGTTATCGGGAAGCCTTTGGTAGCCAACCCCATTACCCAATTTTTTAACATTTATTCTGCCTCAAACCCTAGTTTAGGAGCAGGTCCTAACTTCCTCTCTTCATTCAAAGGCAATTTTCCTGAAGCTTTGCCTATCAGTGTTGACCGGGGTACCCCATACTTTTTGCTTACTTGGAAAACATTTTCACCGTTCTTATATGCTTCTAAAGCCTTCAGTTACTGCTCATGAGTATAGGCTAACTAAATTTTGTCTTCTTGACCGGCTTCTTTGGTATAGGCTTATTTGGCGCCATCTGAAAAATAGAGAAGAATTATTTGTAGCCTAGACAGTTTCTCAATTTTTATAATTAAAATCAACAGTTAACAGTTAAATTAAACTAGCCTACCAGTGAAAACTATTATCCAAGAGTTCCCTAGGCCTAGGTGGTTAATTCCTTTTTACTCATAGAGTTGTGTCATAGACTAGTTTTTTAAATATTTAGTGTATGACAATAAGTGTCATTCACTAAACGCAGAGGATACGCGTCCGGTAACCGGACGTGGATTAGGCGTCCGGCAGTTACTGTCATAACCTAACCTAACCAACCAAACTTGCTGATAGTGAAAAAAATCAAATGAATGTTCAATTCTCTTCATAACATAAAATTATAAATGCCAAAAATTCTAACAAAAGATGTACAGTTAAGAAAAAATTACATTCAAAGCAAAATCTGTGACAAAAAGTTAAAGTTACCAATGGGTTTCGAACCGGGGACCTCTCGCATATCAGTCGAGCACTCTATCCACTACACCACGAACACTGATGGCTGAACATCGTATCATTGTGGTAATGGCGTTCCGGGACCTTCTTCCGGACGCCTAATCCACGTCTGGTTACCGGACGCCTAATCCACGTCTGGTTACCGGACGCGTATCCTCTGTGTTCAGTAAAATTTTTGACCATGCTGTAGTTTAGTCATTGACACTAGCATAACCTAGAAATGGGAAGGTAAAATAAAATGTTAAAATAAACTTCGATAAAAAATACACCCGATAATTGAACAACAATTTATTCAAAACCTCTTTTTAAGTAACAAAAACAAAAAAAAAATTACTTAGGCCTACCTCTTAATTTTTTGTTAAGACAAAAGAGCACCACCATCCAAACTTTTCTAAAAATTTTCTTCATAACTGTGCAAACTAAAAAAAAATGTTGGAACACTGGAAACTATGAAATAAGATCTTAAAAGCTAATATTGGGTTTTTAAGTAGGGTATTCGTTTATTACTTATTCTGTAAAAAAATAAGTTAATTTAGTTTTTAATACCGGTAGCTAAGACATTGTCGAAAATGTTTTCAATACTGCTGTAAATAGTTTAAATCTCGATCGATGCTCTCGTTTTTCAGGAGAAGGCCACGTAAAATGCCTTCTGGGCTGTGACAGACGGACAGAAATTGAGTTAAGGGGTACAGTTTCTTAACTGGGCTATGCTAATATCGATTGAAACTATCAAATTGAAAATGGTAATTATTTGATATTTCTACAATGCGATATCGTGTAATTTTTAGATGTCTACTTACAGTATTTTTCAAGTTGAATCCAAAAATGCAATCAGTTTTTGTCGGAGGGATTCCTAAGTGGCCTTCAAACGATATTTTCAATTTGATAGTTTCAATCGATATTAGCATAGCCCAGTTAAGAAACTGTACCCCTTATCTCAATTTCTGTCCGTCTGTCATAGCCCAGAAGGCATTTTACGTGGCCTTTGCAATTGCCTTAATTTAGCCTAAGTACCATTTCTACAATAAATGTATCAAACAACAAGTTAGTTAGATCCTTAGAAAATCATTAGTGAATGAGCTGTGTATTTTTGTACGTGATGCTGTTTTTTTAACCTTATTTTGGTGAATTGAAACTAGTTGCCTAACTTGACAGATTTTGCCCAGTTACACATTAAATTCTGATTGAGAGGTCGCTTTACCATTGTAGTGAAAGATAATCTGAGGTAACTTAACTTATGAATGTAACGTCAGCAGGCTCCGCAACCGGAGATGAACAACAGTGTGAACCTAACGGTAGTCTTGCCACCTGAAGCTCCTCCAGTTCACTCTCTGCGCATTGATCCTCCAACCTTCCAGATGTCTATGTGTTCTCCTCATCAAGTGTCAATGGTATGATACAAGTTTTGTCAACTGTTTTATTAAATTGGTAGGCCTACATTTTAAATCTAAATGTTTAGTTAGCCTATAGTTTTTTTAGAAATTAAAATCAAACCCTCCTGTAATCACCAGTAATCCTGTAGTCTACACTATTCTGCGCAGGTTAAACATTAAATTACAGACCTATTTTTATGAATATTTGACTCAATTTAAATGTTATAAACTGACTAGTGCACCTGTTGCTCGAATTCGAGCAATTGCTAAGTATTACAGGCGTCAAAACCAATAACAGTCATAATTTCCGATGACTTAAAAAAGTCTACTCAAAGATAATGTTGTCAATCACTCCACTCTAGTTATCGAAACTGAAAATGAACTCACTCTAAAAACCAATGCTCACTCCACTCCAGTTATTAAAGTTAAAAACTTACTCACTCTGAAAACGAACGCTCTTGTTTCTTGTTAGTATTATGAACAGCTGCAATTAATACAAATCATTAATCTGTTTAAGTAAACAAAATCTTTCCTTCATAAGAAATACATTGGGATTTTAATGGCCTGTGGGGCACAGCCTGAGGACTTTTATTGCAGGAAATGTTGAAAGGGGGGATCTACACAGCAAATACTTAGGCCTAATTTTGACACCTCGTTTGTAAATATCCGTCCATTATTAACGGAGGAGTAGTGTTTAGTAGAAATCGCCTTCACGTATTATATACTGTATAAGGATTCTTTAAATTATGGGAATCTTTACTCTTAATGCTCCCAGTTGTTTCTCTTGCACATGACAGATGCAGTAAACATAAGTTCACACTAAGTTATTTGTCAAGGATTTTACAAAATAACTTAATTTAAACTATGCCTGTGCCGAGTGGTCGTTGTAATTATTGAACCTTAAGGAGTTATAGACTAATTTTAAAAATGTTTGCAGGTTGAAGATGACATTCCGCCACCAAAAGCAGATTTTTCTGCTCCACCTCCTTATGACTTGGCAACAAAGTTGCCAACATATGAAGAAGTTCAACGTGAAAAGACTCTTCAAGGGGAACTTCCATTGCCGAGGGTAACTATAATTCTCTAACTTAACGTTTTGTTGATAAGGGTCCTAACTAGGCCTATTCTTAATATTGATCAGTACTTCAAATGTCTGATATTTTGGAGTCCCGCTAGACTACCACGGGGGTACTTTTCTGTTAAAGGGAACATTTATTTATCTATTCATTTACGGTATAACCATTTTACAATAATTTAAATATGCATTCATTTGCTCAAGATATTAAATATAAATAAACAATAACAATAATCAATACAATAGTAAACAACTGTAATAACAATAAATAATACTAATAAGATAATAAATAACATCATACAACATTCCTTATTATCGATGGTTTTTTTTCTTCAATTGATATTATTTTTGTTTTCCTTTAAATTTTACCTTCGATGTCTTCACCACAATCCCGAGATTGGGGAATCGTCATGGTTCTTCCGTCTGGACGGGTTTTCGCTATATTTTCACAAAGTGAGCTGGCGTATGTGTGTGTATGAATGTTCTTCTAAGTACTCATTGATGTTGTAATATGGTCTATTGGTGAGGTATTTTTATTTGGAGGTTCTTTACGATCCATATTCCTTCTGTTCTAATATTGTCTAACACATTTAAATTACAAATTGACAACTAACTGTTATTGTTTAGGCAAAAAAGTTAGGATTAAGAAATCAAACTGTTCTAAACCAACCTAACATAACTAACCAAACTTGCTGTACCATTTAAAAATTCTGTTTGATAACAGAAAAGGAATGTGGAGAATATCAATGGAAATTTGAAATGTTACCGCAAGTTTGGTTAGTTAGGTTGGATTAGCTTAGAACAGTTTCATTTCAATAATATTTTTTTTAATTGTTTGTGTTGTTACTGAGCAATAATTTATTTATTTATCGTAGTTGTCAGGTGATATGTTTTAATTTGTTAATATCAATAGGCCTATATCGGATCAAAAAGTAAAATTTTGCCATAAAAAAAACCATCGATAATAATTTTATATCGATTTCCCCCCTGTGAATTCCTGAACAAAACAATGTAGATATGTGTGAATGAATACTAAAAACAGGTTATTTAAAATACCCGTAGTCCTCATTTTATCATCATGGCCTAACTCCGTGAATCGCGGAATTAATATCGTGATTTTCTGGCCAAATTCTGTGATGTAGTAATACTTACCAACAAATTGTGTTTGACAGCTGTTTTATGACTAAAAAGTAACTAAACAATCTTCAAACAAACCTTCAATTTAGTCTGCTGGAGCACATCACACAGCAGAATGCTACTGCATACATTACATAGAGAAAGGAAATAAGTACACAGAGAAGAGAGCTTACGTTAGCTTTATGTGTAAGACATTGTTTAAATAAATTATAAATAAACAAGGACGGAAACAAAATAAAGTAGTTTACATAGATAGTTGGATTAATATTTACATAACCACATGCTGTACTTAATTTTAAACTAACTAAATGACAAAAAATTACACATGAACAAAAGAACGAAAATTAGATTAGTTTGTAACTTACATGCCCACGTTTGTTACAAAAGTTTAAACAAACCAAGTGATGGCACCGGCTGCTTTAGCCTACGAATGAAAACAATACAATAACACCTAAAAGATCATTAATTTACATGCTTAAAACATAGCAACAAATCACAAAATACATAAAGCGGCTAGAAATATATAAAGGTACAAATTAACTGTGCACCTAAATGATAATTCACATGCATAAAACAGAGCAACAAGACAATGGGACTAGAAATAAACAAAGGATTAATTGGGCATTCAAGGGAATAAATATCACGAAGATGGCAAAAAAAAAAAACTTAAAATGAAGTGAAGTCAGTTTAAGTCAAGTAGCCCCATCAGTCCAAATTTGGTTCTCTCAAGATACGAACAATTTCATTGATTGGGGCACATTGTACACATCGTCATTGATAAGCCACTTAAATTTGTGTTCATGGATTTTTTTTTTAAGAATTTGAAGGTCACACTTTTTGCACTGTCTTTACTGTTTATGGACAAAATTTGCCCCACAAAATGTTTTGTTTCGTCGTTATTTGTATATGGGACGACTACCCACTGGCTTTGGCAGAGACTGTTCAAATCAAGTGGTAGAGGTGTTTCTTCAATGGGAGATTTTCATCTTCTAGGGCTTGTACTCCTAAATCTTCTACGACGTCGTCGTCTTCTTCAGATTCGTTACGGGATCTTCTCTTTTTTTTCGCCTTCAATTCTTCCTTTACTTTTCTTTCTTTCTGCCTACCTTCCCGCAATCGTTTCCTTTCTTCTTTCTCCTTCTTGGTTCTCATCTTATCTTTTTCTTTTTTCAAGTAGAAATTTTTCTTCTCTTCTGGTGCTGCACTTAGAAATTTGAGTTTTTTCTTTATTGTAGTCGATTTTGGGGGTTTCTGCTCTGGCCAGTAAAACGCGTCTTTAAATGGTGTCATCATTTTTGCCTTCATATTTTGCGGGGTCAAGGTCGTTGTTTTGGGTGAGGATTGATTCGATGTTTCCGGGGGGATCATTATGGAGTTTTGGTCACACTGCAAGTTAGGAGTCTGTGGGAATTTGGCAGGTGGCGAGCTTAGGTTTAATAGAAACGATTGATTAGATATGTTGGATAGGTTGAATGATAGGGGAGAGGGAATATCAGTCGGGGAACAGGTTGTTGGACCAAGGAGTGAACATGATAATTGGGGGTTTAGATACAAGCCAGGGTTTGTTGACTGTCCTAAAAGTGGGTTTTTGGATGTAGAATTTATGTTTTCTGTGTACTTGCTTTGGACTGTAATTACTGGCACTTCCAGTTCGATAGGGAAGCTTATATCTTCATCCGCAAGAAAGTTAACAGCCACTTTCGACCCATCGGCAATTACATATGCCTCAACCGCTTCTTCTTCTTCTTCTACATCTTTTACACCATGTGGATTCACCTCAGATCGCCTGTTTATTGGGCATTCTATCAAGTCCTTCTTTGTAGAGGGAGACTTCTTTTTTATGTATAGCCACACTCCATGGAGAGAGATTTGTCTTCCATATTGATGTTGTTTTCTTGGAATGTCTTTAGCCTCTCCTTCCCAATTTTGCCCTCAATATCCGTCAGGTGGCTACGCAACATTAGTCATTGGCTTTGACTGTTTGGTTTTTGTTGTATGCCACTAAGGTTGTTCTGCACAAGCTTCTTGAAGTCGATGTCATCAGGATTATGAGTTGAAAGGCCAGTAGTGGTGAAGCGACTGGTTATAGTCTTCTTGTTGACGCCTTATTTAAGACATTTGTCTAATAGAGGAGCAAATTCTTCTTTTTTGATTTTTGATGCGCCTGTCTCCAACCGCTATTGCTCCCTGGTCTTTTTCCACCCCAACTTGAGCGGATGGAAGACAGACACGTCCATCAGCTGGAGAATATGAGTCGAGTTAGGGTAGAGAGAAATTAGCTCAATCCCATTCTCTGAGCAGAACTCGCACAGATGAAGGGTAAGGTGGGAGGTGTGTCCAAAGAACAGGATGACAGGTCTGGGAATTTGATTCGACAGCAACCAAGGGTGGAAGATATTGGTGATGAATTTGAAAAAAATGTTTCTCTTGTCATCCAACCATTTTCTGATTTACTGATACCCCAGGTGCTTGGTACCTGCTGGACAATACTTGATGGGACTCTTTCTTTTTGAGTATACGATCATTGGTGGTGCCTAGTCACCTGAGGCATTTGCTCTGAGAAGTACTGTGAGGCATTCCTTTTCTTCATTTCCTGTGATTGTGTATACCTGCTTCTGACCTTTCCTGACGTATAATAGTTTGCCTTTAGGGCATAGAAAGTAGGCAATTTCATCACAGTTGAACACCCTCCTGGGGTCATCGAAGATAGTCATTTGGTTCTTACCTTCTAGGTATTCCCTTATTTCAGAAAACCATTTCCTGATGTGTCCCTCTGTGACATTTGTCCTGGTGGTTGTAAGGGCTTGTGACACTCTGGCTGAAATTTCAGGATGTCTTTGTGTGAATAGAGCCAACCATTTATCTCCAGGAGCGCTCTCGGAAAAGGGATTTTCTCGATTCAAATTCTTCATCAATTTCTGGACGCTGGTGAGAAGCTGATCTTTGCTGATAGGGAAACCAATCGTGATCACCCAGTCTAAGATAGTCTGCTCTTCTTCGGGAGTCGAAATAGACGGACGTCTTATCTTGCACAAAGTGGCATACTTTCCACTGATCTTATCTTTCAAAGTCTGCCTGGGAATGCAGAACTGCTTTGAAGCAGCAGACACCGTCATCCCATCTTGCACTGCTGCGATGGCCGCTTCCAAAGTCTCCTGGGAGTAAGCTCTTCTGGGCGCTTTCGGAGTAGGCATTCTATAAAAAAAGAAACACAACTTTGTAGGAGATAAAAACAGTGACATAATAAAGTATTCATGATAGTCTTGTACACGCAGTTATATACATTTGAATTGAAACCAATCAAAAAACTCACGCATATAATACGTTGTATTTTTAGCTCTAAATAACAATATTTAAATATATTCAAAGTTTAGTTACAAATTAACCGAACCACACAACACAATTAAGGTTTGTTAGGTGCACATTTTGTTGAATTCTAGTATTCGTGGTTGAATAAAAAACTCCGTATAACTATTTCTACTATTTAACACAATTGAAACACTCCTGTTAATTCACAGAGTTTATATTGATGCTGTATATTTCTGCTAAGTAACGTGATCCTAATTTAACCTTTACTAAATTGAAAAATCAACTAAATGAATGCATAAGAACTAAATACTATTATAACTCTATGAAATAACACCAAAATTATTCATACAGCTGTCATACTTGATGAATTAAATCCTATTTTGCTTACCTGAATCACTATCTTGAAGCTCAACAGACGTTAAGAATCGGCGACATTCGAACTGGTCACAATTTCAGACGCTACTGTCACAGACTGCTTGGCGCCGGCTACGACCGAACCATAGAGTAATAAACTTAAAGACACATAGAGCAAGCTATTGTTTATCTATGTGTTGTACCTTCAGTCGTCTGCTTATTATTTATGTTTAAAGCAGGGAATCACGGTATTTGGGCAAGTCATGGCATTTGGCAACTTACCTTAGGCTAACTAGAAGTTTTTTTTTATTAATGTCCATACAGTATTCGGTTTTTTTATAGGTTTGTTTTTATATGTTAATGCCATGTTGGATTAACTGTGGTTATTAGTTAACCATGGTCTCCCTCCTCTAAAAGACCCCTGATAATAGAAGGTTCTACTGTATGTTGTTTTTTATGGGTTCTTTACGTTCTCGTCACAATGCGCCATTCACAATTTGTGATATCAGAAGGGATTTAAAAATAATGAAATTTAGTCAATGACAAAACTAAATGATTTATTTATTGCAACTTTTTACAACACAGTTAAATGAGCTTGTTTTCTTCACAAAGCAAAACAAAAAATAAACTTGATTATATTCATAAAACAATTAAAACACATGACTATTATAGGCTAAATAAGCTATGAAACAATAGTAAATCTCATCACTAGGGCCTAAAGTGACTCTTTTTGACCCGAGCTCAAGTTTTACGATAGAGGCGAAGCCGAGGTCGAAAAATTAGCTAGGGTTGAAAAGACACTTTTTGCCCGTGTGATGAACTATATTTTTTGTCATGTTGCAGCATTATTTGAACAAACTATGTTATAAAACTGAAATAGTTTTCATTCAAAAATAACCACTGGAAACTACCTCTAGCTTGTTTACAATTTAATTTGCTAATGGAAACAAGCAGCTCTTTAGTAAATGATTGAATCGTTTTGTCTATTACGATTAGTTTACATTATACTATCTATATGTCGAACTATTAACAATAGGGCAACAATTAACTACAATCAATTAAACAATCGATGTATACTTTCGATACATGCAACAATACAATTGAAATTTACAACTGAATTGACAACAGCTGGTTTTTTCTCCCTAGGGGCTAAAAACGGTACCCTATTATCAAAAGGGTAGCTACTTTCATTGCACGTCCTATTTGCATAATTATAAATAAATGTTTTTATGAAGGCATATTCCCCAATCAAATGAAATATGCTGAATTGAAGCCTCTTTTCAAAAAGGGATTAGTGGAAAACCCCGATAACTACCGCCCAATATCAATACTACCCAACATCTCTAAAATCTTTGAAAAAATTGCATACAATCAAATTTATTCTTTTTTTGATGCTAGCAAACTATTTGCTGACCAACAGTTTGGTTTTAGATCTGGAATGAGCACAATATCTGCTATCTCTGATTTCATAAATCAGGTGTCGGAGGGTTTGGATGGGTCGCAGAGTACAGCGGCTGTATTCTGTGACCTTTCCAAGGCCTTTGATTCTGTAGATTATGATATTCTGTTGACAAAACTTAGATACTACAAATTTTCTGCTAAGTCATTGTCTTGGTGATCTTGGAATCTTACTTAAGCAATAGGTATCAAAGAACAATTATAAAGAAAAATGGTAAAACATTTTCCTCAACATGGGGTAAAATTAAATATGGTGTCCCTCAGGGGTCAATTCTAGGACCTTTATTATTTTTGATATTTGTAAATGATTTGCCCAAAAACGTTTCTTCTAACCTCATTCAATATGCTGATGACACTACAGCGATAGTTAAGGCTAACAATTCTAATAATTTGAAATTTGCTAGATCGTTCACTTCTAGAGCTATCCAACTGGTTTAATGTGAATGGATTGAAACTTAATAGTTCAAAAACACAAATTTTAAAATTTCAGCCCGCTCAAAATAAAAATATTTATACATTTGATTTGATTTTTAATGGTGATATTTTATCTTTTGTAAAAAGTACAAAATTTCTTGGCTTACATATTGATGAAAACCTGTCATGGAAACCGCACATTGATATGCTTACAAAAAAATTAAACACTGCTTGTTTCCAAATTTATGTGTTGCGAAATATAATAGATACCAAAACTAAAATTATGGTATATTATGCCATGTTTTTCTCTCATTTGCAATATGGTATTGAGCTGTGGGGTTCCACTTCCCACGCAAGTAAAATATTTAAAATCCAAAAACGTTTCTTAAAAATTCTATCTTTTAAATCTAAAAGAACATCATGTAAGCCACTATTTAAAAAATATGAAGTCTTGACAATGCCTTCACTGTTTATTTTCAAAACTCTAGTAAATTTAAAAAGTAATTTTCACAAATATGTAAGTAAGCAGTTTGTTCATCACTACCCCACACGTTTCAAAGATAACCTGCAGTATCCAAGGCATCGGCTTTGTCTGTACGAAAAGTCACCCTACTATATGAGTTTGAGGCTTTACAATAGTCTACCAAATAGATTCAAAAATATTAGCTGCATAACTAAATTCAAAAATGACCTTAAACTGTATTTAATAGAAAAAACCTTCTATTCTGTATCTGAATTTCTGGATGACAATAATATTGGTGCACACTTTGGGCAATAACTCAGTTTAGAGTTAATTTTACTTTAATACTATTTTAATTTATGGAATGTTTTCTTTGTTTTAACTTATATTATGCATATTTGACAATGTCACCTGTTCCTCTAGCTGCGCTAGAAACTTGGAATGTATTCTTGTGTATGTGACAATAAAGTAATATTATTATTATTAAACGCTTTTTACTCCCTAGAGAGTAAAAATGCTCCTTAAGACCCGTAACGCATGCATTAAAAATGGTCGTTTTTGCTGCAGTATGGTGAAAAACAGTTTATTAGAAATAAATAAAAACCAATCCCTCAGCCAATGTTTTGTTCAAATTAAGGTTTAAAACTAATGACTGACTAGGCATTTCATGAAAATTATCGTCGCTAAAACCTCCAATATCTATTTTGAACATTACTCAACCAAGGCCATTTTCATACTTGATCTTCTTCTGAAGTTGTCTATAATTTGCTTCTTCGGTGGTATCCCTCACTTCAATTATCCTGGTCAATCGAGGTTTTGCTGTATTTAAATTAAATTTTACTGTTGGGTTTGTTTACAGAGTAGTGCAGCTCACAGACCTCAGACCCTGGCCTTCCTTGCCATTGACACAGACACAGTCGAGTCAGACGGGGAAAACAGTCTCCTCGGTACCGATTTCATGTTCTCTTTGGCATTTTTTGGTAAGTACTAGTACTGCTAAGTAGGCCTATTACAATGTCTTCATTTCCTTTAAATAATTTTTTACAGAAAAATGGTAAATGGATGATAGTCTCACAATTCTTAGTAGGAAAGAATAAACAAAAGTCCCCGCAGTGTAGATATATTTTAATGAATTAGCTTACAACAAACACCTTCAGGAAGTCACTGCACCAAATAGCCTACTTACTTTTCCAATAAAGTAGGGCATCTATCTAGCTAGTTTGTCTTGGGAGGCTGATGCTTGAGTTCTGCTTATCAGATTTGTCACTAGACTTCTCTGCGAACATCCAAATATTTACTGCCTTTTTGGCAAATGAGTGTGCACACTAAGAGTTAAAGAGATTTTTAAAGTCTGTTTTAAATTTTAAACTCGAAGAGTCCAGATAGAATATTTATATTCTTTTCTATCTTGGCTGAGGTTTTGCAACTGACTTGATTAGGACTTACCGGTATGCTTATAATTTGTAGCTTTTAAAAATTAAAATTTTTCTAACGTAGAGTAAGTAAGTTTTATTTTAGTATAAGTAGGCCTATAAGGAAAGTAGTTTTTTATTTCATATTTCTTTATAAGTAAAAGTAGTTTTCCATTATGGAAACTATATGTTCTGATTGTGTTTCATAGTGGCATTCCTGTTTAACTGGATCGGATTTCTCCTGCTGATGTGCTTCTGCCACACAGTAGCAGCTCGCTATGGAGCCCTGTCTGGGTTTGGCCTGTCTCTCGCTAAGTGGACTCTCATAGTCAAACAGTCCACAGACCTTGCTTCTCATGAGAACAGCTGGCTCTGGTGGCTTGTCATGACATTTGGTAAGCTGCACACATACCATTCACAATGATTATAGTTTCACTATCTAAAGAGATTTACCTGTAATTTTGGATCTTTAAAGCTTTAGAGAGTGTGGTAACAGGATGGGGAATGCGATTCACAATACCATTCGGCCGTTTTTTCATATGACCATCAATTAATGATACCATCTAACCAAATATATAACCATGTTCATAACCAATAAATACATAACCATTGTTCAATAGTAAAAAGACCTGGGTTCTCTCCATTCCCGTACAAAAATGTAAAAAAATATCAATGACGTAAACAAATTTATGTTTAAAAAACACAGGAATAAATTACATTATGATATTTCTTCTTTCTTGACTTCACTTTGGTTAATCAAAGGATTAACTTGACAGGGGTGAATTGACATTAGTTAAAGTAGAAAAAATATGAAATATTGTTTTGTTTTAAACTAAATATTTTATAGACATCATATTACCGAGACACTAATAATTGCTTAATGGTAAACATGGTGTAAAAACTAACATTACATAGATGAACCCAATATACAAAATTTTGACATTAGGTACATTATAAGTTTATAGAATTTTAATTTTTTTTTTTAATTAGCCTACTACCTACAATTCTGCTGTGTAAAATGATAAGTAAACCTTGTTTTCCATTATAGCTCAGCTCAAGAACGGCTCCTTTTCTTCTACTAACCTTCTCTGTCTGCTATGCTACCCTACTATAACTTGTATGTGTTGGTTCCAGGACTATTGATCTGTGTCCGTGCCATCATACAGTATCTAAACATCAAGCGAGGCTGGAGGTTGTTGTCTGGCTCAGCTCAAGAACGGCTCCTTTTCTTCTACTAACCTTCTCTGTCTGCTATGCTACCCTACTATAACTTGTATGTGTTGGTTCCAGGACTGCTGATCTGTGTCCGTGCCATCATACAGTATCTAAACATCAAGCGAGGCTGGAGGTTGTTGTCTGGCTCAGCTCAAGAACGGCTCCTTTTCTTCTACTAACCTTCTCTGTCTGCTATGCTACCCTACTATAACTTGTATGTGTTGGTTCCAGGACTATTGATCTGTGTCCGTGCCATCATACAGTATCTAAACATCAAGCGAGGCTGGAGGTTGTTGTCTGGCTCAGCTCAAGAACGGCTCCTTTTCTTCTACTAACCTTCTCTGTCTGCTATGCTACCCTACTATAACTTGTATGTGTTGGTTCCAGGACTGCTGATCTGTGTCCGTGCCATCATACAGTATCTAAACATCAAGCGAGGCTGGAGGTTGTTGTCTGGCTCAGCTCAAGAACGGCTCCTTTTCTTCTACTAACCTTCTCTGTCTGCTATGCTACCCTACTATAACTTGTATGTGTTGGTTCCAGGACTGCTGATCTGTGTCCGTGCCATCATACAGTATCTAAACATCAAGCGAGGCTGGAGGTTGTTGTCTGGCTCAGCTCAAGAACGGCTCCTTTTCTTCTACTAACCTTCTCTGTCTGCTATGCTACCCTACTATAACTTGTATGTGTTGGTTCCAGGACTGCTGATCTGTGTCCGTGCCATCATACAGTATCTAAACATCAAGCGAGGCTGGAGGTTGTTGTCTGGCTCAGCTCAAGAACGGCTCCTTTTCTTCTACTAACCTTCTCTGTCTGCTATGCTACCCTACTATAACTTGTATGTGTTGGTTCCAGGACTGCTGATCTGTGTCCGTGCCATCATACAGTATCTAAACATCAAGCGAGGCTGGAGGTTGTTGTCTGGCTCAGCTCAAGAACGGCTCCTTTTCTTCTACTAACCTTCTCTGTCTGCTATGCTACCCTACTATAACTTGTATGTGTTGGTTCCAGGACTGCTGATCTGTGTCCGTGCCATCATACAGTATCTAAACATCAAGCGAGGCTGGAGGTTGTTGTCTGGCTCAGCTCAAGAACGGCTCCTTTTCTTCTACTAACCTTCTCTGTCTGCTATGCTACCCTACTATAACTTGTATGTGTTGGTTCCAGGACTATTGATCTGTGTCCGTGCCATCATACAGTATCTAAACATCAAGCGAGGCTGGAGGTTGTTGTCTGGCTCAGCTCAAGAACGGCTCCTTTTCTTCTACTAACCTTCTCTGTCTGCTATGCTACCCTACTATAACTTGTATGTGTTGGTTCCAGGACTGCTGATCTGTGTCCGTGCCATCATACAGTATCTAAACATCAAGCGAGGCTGGAGGTTGTTGTCTGGCTCAGCTCAAGAACGGCTCCTTTTCTTCTACTAACCTTCTCTGTCTGCTATGCTACCCTACTATAACTTGTATGTGTTGGTTCCAGGACTGCTGATCTGTGTCCGTGCCATCATACAGTATCTAAACATCAAGCGAGGCTGGAGGTTGTTGTCTGGCTCAGCTCAAGAACGGCTCCTTTTCTTCTACTAACTTTCTCTGTCTGCTATGCTACCTCACCACTTCTTGTAAATACCTAACACTTTCACCCAAAGTCATATTTGTTAATACATCACAGTTAAAATCTTGCTGTACATCTTGGTTCTTGGTTGTGATATTATAATTGTTATGTATTTGATGTTCCCTGAGGATCTAGAAACAATGTTCAAGATTTAGATTTGATTCGGCAGTTCAGCAATATAAGTTTAACTTAACAGTTGTATCAAATTTTTAAGTTTAGTGACTCTGAGAGACTGCTAAGGCTCACTTATGATTCTTACAATGTCTAACGAATTGAAATTAATAGCACAATGTTGAGGTTACCATCTTTGGAATAACTTGTTTAACGCCACATCTAATTATATTCATAGTTTCTTTGGACTGAATTTAGATCTGTGGTAATTAGGATTTTAGGACTTGTCTTTTTTGTTATAGGTTTTATTTTTATTAAACATTGAAGTGGTTATGTTGTAATTTTGACTTGTAAGCTTTAATCAACTTTGTCAATTGAGAATTGATGCATGATTTGCACTGTCAAAGTATAAACAGTTATCCTAAAAATGTTTCATCCTTTTATCAATTTCTACTAAATATTGTTGATTCTGGTTTGACAAAATCATTAATTGATGAATGTATAAAAGAGCCGCATTTCTATGATGTTTGCTCCAGCCTATTTTTAATCATGATGATATCCCAACTTCATTTTTGAATTTTATTTATATAGGTTGACTTTAGAACTTTTAGTTTAATTTGAAAACTGACCCTTGCATATGATCAAATGATCAAAATTTTATTGTACAGGAACATGTGCTAATCCTTTATATTTAAGTTGTATTTTAATAAGATGGTTTGTACCACATTACCTAGAATAACTCAATGGAAAGTGACATAATTATATACATGTTTTATAGATGTGTGCTGCAAATTTTTTAATTTGATTGTTGGTGAAATAATCAGATTTTCAGCATTTCTGCCTCCTTCACATGTTTTATGTTATTTACTCCATTGTAATGTTATTCTAGGTAGTGTGCTTGAGAGAAATCTGTATTGTATTAAGCTAAGGCAATAGGGATTAGGCTGAATATTTATATATTATTTACACTTTAAAATGTACTGTTAGTTAAGAGAGTGTATAGCATTTAGGACTGTTAAGTTGTATTTATTTAGATCACACACTTTTGTTTTAAATGATTCCTGAATACTTAGGTGTTTAAACATTTGTTTGTAAAGTGTACAAAATATTCCATTTGTGAATGATGCTTTTAGTTAAGTATCGTGTAGAAAATTATATATTTTGTGTTGTTTTATGCAATAAAAATTTATATTTGAAATTATTTTTTATTTTTTTAAGTATAAAAATCTGTACCTAATTCTTTGGGATGAGTAGGTACATTGTACATCATTCTTTATTTATTGATTAAACTGTGAAATTTTTATGAACAAATAAGCCGAAACAAGTTTTAGGCGAATATACAAAATAAATAAGTAATAATTAGCAAAATATCTTATGCAATTCAGAAAGAATTCACCCATCCCTGACAAACACTTGAGCCCTCAACCATTTACTGTGAGTTCGCCTCCCACAAAGCATTACCATACACAGGTGAACTCCTCATGTATTGTACCTCAAACCTAGTGGTCTACTGCACTTACAATAATGGTCTCTGTCACAAGCATTGCAGATCTAAACTAGATCCCACGGATTGTTGAACAGAGCTACTTAAATTATTTATAAAATTCCTATTTCCTGTTTCAGCTATTACCTCTTTTACTTATGAACTCCTATAATTTTTATAAAATGTCTTTTCAAATTTTATTCCATTATTTCACCCAATCAAATTTTTAAATGCCTGCCATTTTGGCTTGGGGTGACATATCGACAGGTTTGCACCATTGCTTATAAAAAAATAAAGATTTGTTTCCATATTTGTGAAATTGGTGCTTTTTCACATAACTCAAATTTTGCAAAATACATGCCATTTTGGCTAGGGGGTGAGATATCCACCTCAGGTTTGCGTCATTGTTTCTTTTGACAAACCCTTTGAAATGAGGGGTCACTCAATAGGGGTTGCTATTTGAAAAAATAAGTTACCCCCTACCCACTACCCTGTTGGGGGGGGGGGGGGGGGTTAACAATATTTTTGATGTAAAAAATTGTGGATCCTTTGTTAAATATGAATGCCACAAACAGAATATTTCTCTCTATTTCGGTTTAAAAAATACAGATTTGTTTCAATACTTAATTACACACTGTAAACCCCAAGTTATTTGTGACAAGATTCATCCAGCCTAATAAGGTTGAAAATGGGAGTTCATAATGGTTAACGGTAAATAAATTATGATTGGCCGATTTTTAAATTGTTATAATTGGTATACCCCAAAACATCCCCCCCCCCCACAAAAACACTATGATTAACTGAAACATCTGTTACTGAAGTGTGTTTGTTTATAGAAATTGGAAAAACCTTTTATTTTACAAACCATTGCAAATAGAATATGTAAACTTTGTATAGTGTTTTTTGGCTATTTTAACTTTTTCCATGCAAAGTCCATCACACACATTCATTGGAAAGATGGCCCGTGGAGGAAGGATGGATGTGGAGGTTGTCATGGAAATATTGAAGGAAAGCATGCGTTGAGGAGTAAATCATATTAATGAGCTCAGTTGGTAGCGTCTATTGCCACAAACCGCATATCAATAGGTCGATGGAAGCCAAAAAAATAGGTGTTATCAAATTTTTCACACATTAAGTACATTGACAGGAATTTTCTAATAAAATAACAACAAAAATTCAATATTTATAAATATTTACTAGGAAAGTATCCAAAATTTATTTACATAGGTTTTTACATATTATTATAAAAATATACTGCACATATTATACCAAATATATAAAATCACACAATAATAATCATTTTGCAATAAAATATATAATCTCTTATAATAATTGACTAATATCATAATAATGTAAATAACTGATCTTTATAACAGGCAGAATTAAAATTGGAAGTATAAGCAAGTAAAATAACAATTTCAATATAAATATCAAGCGTACTTCAGCAAAATAAAAATATCAATAATCAATATAGTTAAAGCTGCCAAAACATATCAATAGTATATAAAAAAATAGGGCTATATTTTTTATAAAAAGAAAATAGAGAGTTCAGCAACACTAATTTGTTTAATTCTTCATTACGTACAAACTTGGTTAAATCTCAAAAGAAAATTTGACAAAATTATCTAACAACATGATGTAATATTAATTAAACAATTAAAGGTTGCTGAAAATCTTGCAATACAATTGCAATAAAATTATCTTATACAATCTATTTGGTTTTTTAAAATCTGAATTGATAACCAACTCAAAATTTTGTTTTTTTTCAGAGGAAATATTTCTTAAAATGGTTTACAATACCTGCATATAGTAATCCTTTGTTGCTGATTTTGGCAACTAGTTTCGGTTCATTATTGAACCATCTTCAGGCCTCAAGATGTCAAATAATCACTTCATTCGAAGGTCGTTAATAACAGAGTTCAATAAATAAGACATATACAAAACACGATACACGGAACGGACGCACATTACTAAAAACACAAAGGGACATTGACAATAGATCGTGACCGGGCTGAGGTAAAGTCTAGACTAGCGGTCAAAGTGGTCTATGACGTTGTCTCTGTCTTCTTATCACCGGTGCGTGTTCATTCATTCATTGTTCCCCTCCAGTATCCTAATAGCTGTATTGTAAATATAGTTGGATTGAAAGGAGAGTTTATCGTTCAAAACGTTTTAATGTGAAAAATATGGAAGTTTTACATTTTTCGCAGGACCGTTTAAACAGAAACACATTGGAGGAGTTTAAAATATACAGAGCAGTTAAAGCAGACCATCAAAACGTTTTGAACGATAAACTCTCCTTTCAATCCAACTATATTTACAATACATCTATTAGGATACAGGAGGGGAACAATGAATGAATGAACACGCACCGGTGATAAGAAGACAGAGACAACGTCATAGACCACTTTGACCGCTAGTCTAGACTTTACCTCAGCCCGGTCACGATCGATTGTCAATGTCCCTTCGTGTTTTTTGTAATGTGCGTCCGTTCCGTGTATCGTGTTTTGTATATGTCTTATTTATTGAACTCTGTTATTAACGACCTTCAAATGAAGTGATTATTTGACATCTTGAGACCTGAAGATGGTTCAATAATGAACCAAAACTAGTTGCCAAAATCAGCAACCAAGGATTACTATAGTCCTCGCCACCCTAAGTTGAGGCAGCCGAAGGCCGCACTACATATACGCCGTGTGGCCTTTGGCTGCCTCAACTTAGGGTGGCGAGGACTATATATGCAGGTATTGTAAACCATTTTAAGTATAATACAGTAATCCGGAGGCTAAACAACTATTTTTTGAAATATTTCTAAATAAATTTTCTAATAATTTACGACAAACTTTTTACTAGGGTGGATCATGGCCATGTATAAGGTGGATGGTTAAGAAAATGCCTCCTGTGTTTATAGCTTAACAATAATATTCAACAAATTAATGTAAACAGATTTATAGTTAATCAATAAATTTTCAAAGACGGGACACATGTTTCTATAACTGTCAAAAACATTCGGTAGACAAACATCCTGAGCAACAGTAATATAAAATATCGCAAGTCTTTTCAAAAGTATTGTTTTTGTAATTTTAATCCTCAATAAAGTCGAATAAATAGATAGGGTATAACATTAAAGGTTAGTTAAATAGTGCTAAATAAGCTCACTGAACTTATAACATTAACAATGCTTTGAACATTTAAGCAAAAAATAGATAATGCTTGAAAACCTCTAAGTGTACATTTCATTATTTCAGAAACACGGTTGTGTATCTGATCCATACTTGATTATTGATGTTAAAGTGACTAATTATTGGTGTAAGAGAATACAAGGCAAAGTGGAGAGAGAGAGAAGACCAAATATGTCATATGTTTTGTGCGCTGATTATGGACACATTTATACAACTACTACACATATAGGGGTTACAAACAAAGTGGAACATGTGCATAAGCTACAACACTTAATTGTTGGATACAAATTTTGAAAATAACCCTAGTAATTGGTAAACATTGAATTCCATACCTATTTTGACAAAAATCACATTTAAGTAAACAAATGTTAAAGCTATAATGATTGCATTGTATTTAGTGCAATCGGTAAGTTAGTTGTCCAGCAAGTAATAATTTGCCAATACTTTGACACACTTTTCAAATTGAGACAATGTTGAAAGAAAACTGACAGAAGATATAAAGAAACCCAAATTATACTTGAATTTAAAGGAAGTAAATTGACTCCACATTTGTTCAGCTAAAGCAAAGCATTAGTTTGACTTAACAACATTCAACATTGTCATAAGAATGCACTTGCTTTCATAAATGAACCATAATCCAAAATTAAACAAGAATACCTTTTTTTAAATGAGTTGTGAAACTTTAAATCTTGTTATAAAACAGCTTAACTAATTGTGCAAAAATTATAACAGTCATTTATGTAAATCTGACATTCAGCAACAATAACAAATTGTTAATTAACCCTTTGCAATCAGAAAAATTACTTTTAGGTTGTCTTAATCAATTTTAACATAATCAATCAAGTCAACTGAACTGGCCACAATCGGCAGATAAATTTTATTTCCGTTGGTTTTGCCAACCTGGAAATGCTTGGTAGACTAGTAGCACTGGCCAACAAATATACCTTTTTAAAAACAGTTTCTTTTTTAAACAGCTCTTTTTCTTCCTAAGGAGTAATCCATATGGAATAAAATCAGCTGTTGTGAACATCGATTGTAGGCAATCACATTTGTCAATTGATGTAAGGTAGTAGATTAATGAGCCGTTCTTGTCAATAATTCGACATATTGCGATAGTATAATGTACACTAACACAATCACAATAGACAAAATAATTGAATAATTTACTAAACAGCTGCTTGTTTGCATTAGCAAAATTGAGAACAAGTTAGAAAAAGTTTTGAGAGGTTATCTTTACATGAAAACTATTTTGTTTAGTACCTTAGTTTGCTTGATGGTGCAATATGACAAAAATATAGTTTATTACAAGGGCATAAAGATTCTTTTCAACCCGAGCTCACTTTACACCCTAGGGATGAAATATACTAATACACAAAACGTTATACATTTTTAGGTCTACTGAGTAGTAATACCTAATGAGCATCTTTTAAACTTAAGTTATTATGTGCTTGTACAAACACCATCAGAATAAACAACAGCAAAAAAAAACCAGTGCTACTGACTGCACAAGCAATATCAACCAGCACAAGAACAAGTGGTTTAAATAAATTATTGGATACAAATTAAAAAAAATAAAAAAATACTAAATTTGACTAATTTGAGTTAAGAATAAGACGAGACCTTCCCGATCGGAACACCCACCACCACTGCGCCGTGCCGAGTGCTTCCGCATCATACCGTGCATAGCCAAACTGTTCGCGGCAAATTGTTTTCTCTATCACTGTCATTGTAAAAATGTATCGTATGTAGGTTAAATTTAAATTAAATTTAATTTAACTGTCATAACCTAACCAAACTTGCTGATAATGAAAAAATCAAATGAAGGTTTACTAATCAAAAAATAGTTCTGTTCATAAAATAAAATTATAAATGCCTTAAATTCTAACAAAAGATGTACAGTTAAGAAGTAATCATATTCTAAGTTAAATCTTTTGACAAAAAGTTAACGTCCCCGGTGAGATTTGATCCGGCTGCCTACAGTTCATCAGTTTAGTACGGTACACTATCCACTACACCACCGAGGCTGATGGCTTTAGTCCGTATCGTTGCGGTAATGGTGATTGGTGTTCCCTCAAGAGAAGAGACTGACATCACGCCATCGGCACGGCGCGGTGATGGGGTGTTCCGATCAAGAAGGTTTCGTAGAATAAGTAGTTGATCAGAACATTGGAAAGAAATAATAATGTATATTATTCCTTTCAAAGGATATAAAATATATATTTGTATAGACACGGTTAAAAAAAGATCACAAGCTGTAGGAATTACACTATTCACTATAAACATAATAAATTTAACGCATTTACCTAACTAATATAAGTATTTGATCTGCTGTCTGGTGTAGTGTTATCTATGTACATTGCCCAGTCCATACCATTGGACAGTTTCACGGCCCAGATCTAGAGATTCCAGAGGAAGTGACACTCCTCCCAGAAACTCATTCTCCTGCAGAGGATCGTGGTTCCACACTGTAGCCTGCAGTACACGGTGTTGAACTATCTCCAGTGGCATACGATACTCCAGCTGTATAACACAACAACTGTTGTAACATCTATCACACACTGGTATCATCTAACAGGTCATTGTAGTAGTTAGTAAGTTGTGTGACATAATGATAATACTCACCATTTCCATGAAGGACGGGTGGCAGCTCCTCCTGATCACCTTGGTCTTGCGTTTGGTCTGCTTGTGAGGGTCTGGCAGGAGGTACACCTTGACATAGGTGGAGGGTTCTTGGCCATTAGCTGTTGGTAACTCCCGAGCATGGTGGACCATTACCTGTCCAAGAAAGTATCTTTTAGTTTTGACACAAAATGTTTTTTTATTAGTAAATTTTGATTTATCTCTTTTTCAAAAATTTAAAACAATATTGGCCTTACCATGAGAGTGCCCCTTTGGTAGTGCAAGGAGAGTTTTAGCTGTCCTCTCAGCCTCCAGGAGTCACTGTTGATAATCCTCTCCTTCTTGCGTTCTAAACAATAACGAAAACATGTAAAACACATGATCCTGTAATGTGAACAAGCCAAATGTAAAATTTACAAAGAATTTCAGCAATACTTCAAACTGAGGTTAAAATCAATAGGCCTACATAAAGCCTATTGATCACATGGTACGTGGTCACTCCCCCCCCCCCCCCCCCGTGTCACCCAAAAACGACTTTGGCAGTTAAAAAATCATGTTGAGCAGAGTTAAAAGAAATGAAAAATGGGTTTTTTTGTTAGGTTAGTTTCTCATCATTCGGATATGCAATAATGGTAGAGGGCTGATTTCAATTTCTCACCCTTGAGTTTCTGCTCGTGGATACTGGCCTCCTGTTGATCACGCAGTAATGGGTGAAAGAAAGTGTAAACAAGGTCACTGTGGCAGATCTCATCAGCCATCTTGAACAGTGACACCAGGAATCGCTTGATGTCCACCAGCCGCTTCTCTGCCACTTGCTTGATGTTGGATCTGCCCATGTGTAGCGAAGTGCTCTGCAGGCTACCACAGACAAAAGGATAAATAGATATCATCAAAGTGCTCTGCAGACCATTATTTTTACATTCTTACCTTAAACAACTGAGTTATATAATTTAATTATAAACAATAAATATATATATAGGCTAACTGAAATGAATAGCAAAATAAGTTGAGATAGATCTGTACCTGTAACACTTAGCCAAGGGAAAATGGATGCAAAGTTTCTGCTGGAACTCTACAAACTCCTTGTATGAGCGGAACAGGTATGTCGGGTCTCTCTGGCTGACTCTCTGTACCCTCAGTATGTATGTGTAGTACTTGTCTGGGTCGTATCGCTTCTGATACCCATACACCTCCACACTCTGTAGTCTACCCTCTGCAGCCATCCTGCACATGCAAACACAATATAATTTTCTTATTATTTTCATATTTTTTAAAGCAGTCTTTTTCAAACATTAGATTTGCCCATTTACGTGGGCCTCAAAGGCCAGTGAATGGAACATAGCAAACGAAGCAAGAGTCATCATAAATTTTAAGAGGCAAAACCGGGATGGGAACCCAGGACATGCCTTTGTTTCACAGACAATCGCACTACAAACTGAGCCACTGACTCGCCTTCAAACTAGGCCTATTAGGCAATATGTCTTGTTTAAAACATGGAGTTTCTCAGTAGTCATTGTAGATATACAAAAGATTTATGGAATCTGATTTTAAAATACTGCAGTATAACCTCGATAAGAAGTGTCTCAAGGGGATTAGGAAAATAGTCTTGTTATCGAGATGCTCTTATTGTCAAGAATTGTGTTATCAAGGTCATTTCGGTCAGCAGTTGATTTATTACGAACACTGTCACAAACGGGTAAATAGTAGGAATGGACGGGTCCCAAAATTTCAGGAAATTTTCGGGAAAAATTTTTTCTAGATTTTCGGGATGAGATTAAGTTACATTTTAGTCGGGAATTTTTCAGGACGGGATTTGACGGGATTTCGACAATTGCGCCATGACCACGAGTCATTTCGACGATCGTGCCGTGACCCGATGTCATTTCGACCACAGCAAAATTATGAGCATTTCCCACGGCCGTGTAGACATCATCATTGACTCCTGCGGTCACAGAAACTTCATTATCGAGGTTCGGGACGGCGGCAAAATCATGAAAATTCCCGACTTAGATATCAAAATAAAGACTAAATCCCAACTTTTCAAGACCTTTTTGAAATTTAAATACTAATTCCCAACTTTCCCAGCTACTAGACAACCTGTTGACCGAATTGACATGGGAACTGTTTCATACAGTTATGTAGAGTTGTATTATCAAGGTTAATATCTCTAAATGACTTGTCTTAGAGGTTCTGAGTTGCCTTGTGACTTGTAAAAAAGGCGTCTTATCGAGGTTGTTTTGATAAAAACAGTTGTATTATAGCGGTTAATTTAACATTGAGTTTTTTTTTTTGCTTTTTCAAGGGGATGAAAACTGCACTTGTAATCGAGGTTGTCGTGTCATTGAGGGTAGTGTAAACGATTTTCTACTGTATATCCAATGGTAAATATTGTAGATTTTGAAAATAAAAATTTACGACTAAAAATATTGGGGAAATATAACTGTTGATTACTCAACTTAAAATAAAGCATGTTTTCTGTAGCCTACTGGAGCTAAAATAGAGGTAATCAGTTAAATAAGACACAAATATAATATCCCAACATACGAGTATGTACGAGGAACAAAACTGAGCAGTTCCCCATCATTGTGGTCTCCGGTAAACCTCAGTTGTGCCAGATTGTGAAGGAAGAAGTTGAACTGAGTGAACCAGGACTTGAGGGAACTCTGGATCATACGAGCAAACATGGCTGCTGCCTCAGGATTAGTCAGGTCCAGCAACAGTGAGCGCTGGATGTAGCGGACAGCATCCATGGTCACACCAGAGATACCGGAGGAGGCCATCTACACAAACAAATAAAATATGCTCAAAGAATATCATAACAAACTCTAACTTTACACTACATTCCTGAAAGAAAATTAAAATTATAAACTAAAAAGTTAAAAAAGTCTAGTACAAGACATAGGACAATACTTACTCTACGGGAAGAAGTGAGGAATCTAAAGAAAATATAATGGAACAAAATACAATCTGGAGAAATGAGATATTCAAGGGCTATTAAGATTTTTAAAAATGGGATTGAGTTAGAAATAAAGAGATCAGAAGAGGGCTAATTTAAGTCTGCATAAGGGAGAAAGTAGAAAATAAATGAGATGGTTTGGATACAAAAGGAGATGAGGGAATTTCTAGGTAAGTAGAGTTTTTGGTGATAAAAAAAGAGATTAAGAGAGTTTGAAGAAGTTAAGTATGAAGTAGCAAGAGATTTGGAGATGAGAGGAGTGAGATGAGAAATAGTGAAGAATGTGTAACTGAATTGAGGGGTAGGAGAAGACTAAGCCTAGTCGACACCCAAACCCAGTAATAACTGGAATGGATACGTCGCTGGTTCATAGATTTGGAATGAATTGCAAACATCACAATCCTGCTGATCCATTATGTTCAAAATTTAATTTAACTTAGATAGATAGAACCATGTAAAATACTATAGAACGAATGTTATACTCACCAATCCGAATAGGTTGAGTATCAAGTTGCCATGTTTGCGCACAATGTTGAATGCTTGACAACAGAGGTCCACAAAGTGATGGAACTTGGCTGAAGGCTTGTCTCCTCCATTGATCACATAGGCCATGTCTGAGGTCAGTACAAACGGTGTCCGGTCCCTGCAACAATCTTAACTAAAGCTGCTGCCACAACCTGTACTCTTCAACAAACTGCCAATTATCAAACTTTAGTTTAGTTCCTATCAAAATTATTTTTTTATAGGGATTGGTCGGTTTTTAAAGTTGGATGTCGGTTTTACCAGTTTTTAGCAAACTGGCAAACTCTATTTTGAAAATTTAGCAGTCAGCAAATTAAAAACGCAAAGAATTTATGGAAAACACTTTTTTGGATTATTGGTTGTCATGCAATAATATAGTCTTCACGATCGCCTGTGATGATCTTAACAATATCTTTAGTTTTTTGATAACTTTTTTCATGCGATCACAGGAAACACTGATGATGTCTTCAAGATTTTGCTGCAATCACAGGAGACAATGATGTAATGTTCGATAAGTCAAATTTGGTCTTGGAGTTTTAACGGCAATAATCTACGAAACAAAATAAACTTACTAAATCCATCAGTAAACCTTACACAAAGAAAATTTCCATGGGGCTTAGGCTGAGATATAAATGGATGGTATTTTATCTAAAAAAAAAAGAAAACTATACTGAGATCTGATAAAACAAAAATCAAACTCAGAAAAATTGCAACCGTCACATTACTTAGTTTTATGTAAGATCTTAGAAACAGGGAAATTTGTGCAATTCTTAAACATATTATATTAGTGTTATAAAAGCAAACAAATTAAAAATAGTAATATAATAGAATGTAAAATTTTAGATTGAATATATTTTTGTACTAAATACAAATGTTTTACACTAACAGCCTACTGAGTTACTGAGCTACAGTAAGAATACCTTTTGAAGTTGCCAAACATCTGAGCGTCGCCGAGGAATTTGCCAAAGTCAATGTGGAACAAGTGTCCGGATGTCTTGAGCATGATGTTGTCGTTGTGACGATCACAGATACCCAACACATAAGTGGCCACACTGTACCCTGCGCAGGATGCTGTAACATTTTCAGGCCATGAGCTCAGACATACCCAACAATATCACACATGGTAGGTATTTCCCCTGTTGGCTGAATCAAATAACTTTGGTTTGGGATTTAATATAAATAGCACGTGTATATTCAGAAGAGACTAAATATTAAGTTAACTATTCGAACCTCTTTTGGGCTTTCACTATAGTTCGGCCGCTTAATAAATAAATCTGACAATTTTAAGAAAATATTTTGTGAAAATCCAATCAGATAAATGGAATTTCGCTTAGTCTGCAGGTTTGCTGCAGTGGGGTATTTATTTTTGAAATTCTTATTCCCTCAATTTATAATTTAATTTAGGAAGGAAAACTACTACCAATTTATCTCAATAGCATGCTATAGTTCAGCCGCTTTACGGAAACTCGCTAAAATTATTATCGGAAAAACAAAAACAAAGATATCATAATAATCAGAAAGGGCAAGAATGAGATACTTTAGCAAAAATAAATTTAAATTTATAACATGGACCATATTTATTGTACCAGTATTTGAAGGTTAAGTAAACTGTTTTACTTGTAACTAACTGTATTTACCTGTGAAATTAGCCACAGCTCTCTCATACTCAAGAGCGGAGGGATTGTGCTTGGCCAGCCACTCTGCGATGGTTCGGTCCTTGAATGAGCCTGCAGGACCCAACTCTACCACCTGTATCTTGCGCAGCGTCTCAGCCTCCGTCACCATCTCTATCATACCTAGACAAGTAAACATTATAGGAGAGGATGAGATGTAAGTGGTTATTCCCTCCAGAATCCAAAACATTTTAAAAAGAACTTTGACTTAACTTTTTATTTGGACTACAGTATGTAGGCCTACCTATTTTGGTGTCGTCAATCCATTATCTACTATTAGGTGACTAACTTTAAAGTGTCATGAGATTGTCAAATTGATCAAAAATACATATAATCACAAAAAAAAAAAAAACATTTGAAAAGAGATATAAAAAAATTAGTAACATTGTGGGAGCCAAATGAGAAACTTTGAGTACCGGTAGATATTTATCTGGGAATAATCTAAAAATGAGATTTAATTTAATCACTTTCAATTTCAATAGGCCTACCTCTCTTGGTGCCAGTGGGTACACATGCGAAGGTGACCATCTTGAGATCCAGTCCCTCCTTCAGCCACAGTTTGTCCATGATACGGATCATCTGCAGTGTTAGCATGTCCTGCTGTAGATCATCTCCAACCTGGGTAACAGTTCATCATAGTTATATTTCTTGAAGGTAGCTGGTTCAATTTGTCATTGAACATACAATAGGTAATGATTTTTAATAATGAATTAAATTCATAAATGGTGATATTCCACAAAAGTTGACATTATATTGTAAACTTTCCAGGGTTTGGACAACTCCTTTAAAAAATGTAAAACAAGTGATTAAAAGGCAATCATTGCCATGAAATTCATATCATGGCATTCCACACTATAGCTTCTTAACAAACTTTCTGTCATTTCCCTATCAAACTACAAATAATTCTTTTAATGTTGCATCTATATGATGCTTTACGTGATGATTTACCTTAAAGATAGCAGGGATGATGCAGCTATCACCACAGTTGAAGTTGATCTTGAGAGGGAGAGTGTTGGAGGGGAAGTATGAGCAGGAGCGCACTTGTACCCCAGCCACCTCCATGCTCGGCCCCAGCGGCAGACATGTGCTAGTAGCCTCCAGTGACGCATGTACACCCTCCAGTGAGGCTAGTAGAGCCTTCATCCTGTGTGACTCCTTTGTGGTCTTCACTGTCTCTGCCACCTCATACAGGCTCTGTGTAAACAATCATCTAATGAAGCTTGTGCTGTGAGCAGTTTGTAGTCTGCTTAAATTTGGATGAATGACAATCCAATATGGACAAAATTAATCACATTTAAAGGTCCATAAATATTAACTAGATGTAATTGATGTACTAAATAATCAATAAATCATTAAACAATATGGACTTTGACAAAAAAGCTAAACAAAATAAAATTGTTGTGTTTATTTTTTATGTTGAGAAACTGAGAGAGAGACGACTGATCAAGCAGCAATAATACATGCCAAGATCTACTGCATAGTTAACATAGTAAAATTGTTAACAAAAACTTGTATCACACTTTTAAGACCAGTTTGTCAGTTGATAATGCATCAGACAGCATTATTGACCCAAAACCCTCTCATTAGCTTTCATGAATTGTAAAGACTTCAACAATGTTCAATATTCAGGTGAAAAAAACAACCTAAAGAATGTTGTTCTTGAAACAGAATGCAAATGTTTCACAAAAAACTTACGACAAGAATATAGTATTTTTTCACAAAATAAAATATTATAAAATAATATTGACTAATTAAAATGATAAATCACCGATCCAACACAACTTCTCTTCGGATGATCATTATGTGATATGTTCTAACCTTGACTAGGAGTTGCTGAGACATGAAGCGTTGACGAGGAGCTTCTCCAGATATCGCCAGCAAGGCTCTGAGGATCAGCTGCAGACGACGGAAGTATCTCGCCTCACACACACTTTGGTCCTCTACCCCCACCTCACTGGAGTTCTGTTATAAACAATACCAGAAGGTTCAAATACAATTTTTGGTTGAACTATAAGTGGTGGAAATTTTATAAAAGGCCTACCAAGAGAAAGTATCCCCTGTGAAACCTCTCTTTTTTTTGGTTTTGTATGGGTAGACTTTCAGTTTTTTGTGATTTGAATCTCTGGATATCAGATTAACACATACTCTCATGTTTTCGTTGCTTCCTGAATCACTGGTGATATATTATTTATAGGGTTATATAAGTTATATTACCTTGTTCGCCAAGTGATTCTTGTCCTCCAACGTATTAAACGTTTTGTGACAAGCAGCAATGTCAAATCCCACAAAAACTTCTTCTAAACCATATGGTTGCATCACAATCTTTCTGACCATATTCAGTGAATTAGTTAGTAGGCCTACATTAATTTTTTTTTTAAATATATTTGTAATTTGTACAAGTGTGTCGGAAAGACTGAGACGTGACCATAAGTTAAAGTGACATAAAATACGTTTTTGTGGGATTTGACAATGATCTTTATCGTTGAAAGGCGTAATCCTTTGGAGGACAAGAATAACTTGGCAATCAAGGTAATATAACCTTATATATATATAATACATAGGCCTACTCTTAGCTAAAAGACATTGGTGATTGGCGGAATTTGAACAATGACCTTTAGAACAGAAGTGTTGCATTTTGGTCAAAGACCAACTGCACTCCTTGATCAAAGAAATTGTGATTGTGATTAGTTATAAAACATGAGATATTGTAGGCCTGATTCCTCAATCATTATGAATCTTAATGTATAACCAGAATACATTAGACAATCAATTGCTCAATAAACATGTTAACATTTGCTGACCTGTGGACTGTTACCCGGCAGAGCCTGAGTGAGCAGCCAGTAGAGGTGGTGAGCAACTCTAGGTGATGTTAGAGCTCTCTCCAGTAACAGTCTGGCGAGAGGAGAAGTCTCGTATGTCTCATGCTTCAGTGCTTGTACCAGCTGAGGCAGATAGTCTACCAGCTCATCACTAGAGAGATCCTGGATCCAAGATACAGCTACTCTTCGCACCTCTCTGTCTGGGAAACTGTAAATACACAACCATCATTCAGTTATTGAAGTAGGCAGTTGGCGTACCAACTTGTAAGTAGACAGACTCTGAAGTCACAATTAGCTACTTGCTGCAGTTTTCTGTTAAGGAAATAACATATAAAACACTGTTTTGATCCTTTTGCCTAAATTTTAAGTTTAGCACTGATATGCGATTTCCTTTACTTCAAATTGTTTTTATCTTTCAATGCTTAAAATAAAATCTTGTTGGAAGTTAAGATTGTAATAGGCAATTTACTAATGTAGACATCCTTTGAATGACAAAATGTATGAGATAATTAGGGGTCTGCAAGTCTCCGATATTTTCGGGTTGGGTCGAAAAAAACATTTGGCCTGAAAGATTGGTTTGGGCAGGAATATTCTGTCCAAGTTTTAGTGCAAGCGGTTGAAATTTTGAGTCACGCTCTTATTTTACAGTTGCAGAGAGCATCTGCAAATATACATATTTAAAAAATTATGCTTCCACTGCTATTGCAGGAGACATTGATGAGTCAGCATTTTGTCATGACCGCTGAAGGTGCTCACAATTTTGCTGTGACCGTGGAAGATGTTCATGGTTATGATGTGACCTTTTAGAAGATGTTCTAAATTTTGCCCTGACTGCAACAGACAATGTAAGATAGTGTATAAACTTGCAAAGTAAACCAAGACTGGAAGGCCCAAAATTTCTGACCTGACCAGTCGCAACTCAAAGTAAAAAAGTAAGGCTTCAGGCATAATATTCAAACAATTCTGAGTTTAGAAAGCATTGATCATGATTCAATTGTGTCATGTGTACTTACAAGTAGCATTAAAAAATTATTTCCTTCTGCAATAACTTTTATATATAATTTTTATCAAATTGGTAAGACATTTAGCAGAACAAACCATGGAAGTAGGAGCTGAAGGGCACTGACAGGTTCCAGGGGAGCCCAAGTGTGCAGCATAGCATGAAGATCAGACAAACAAGCATAGTCCCAGCTGTGGGCGGCCAGCAACACCTTGGGTAGGGCTTGAGGCTGAGACACCAGGTAGTGCCTCTTCTCCCACAGAATCTCTCTGTCCTCCAGTAGTGGCCTGGCAAAGTAGAACATTAGTATACAGATTTACTAAAAAAACCTAGAAATTGTATTTGTATTTTTTAGACTGTTCCCGTAAAAAAATATTAACGTCAAAACGCAAAGAATACCTGGTGAATGTGTCCTGAGCAATGATGTCCTTTAGCAGATCCTGTGTGTTTCCATCCAACGACTCAAAATCGTGGGATGTGGAGAAGGAGTCTTGTTCGACCTCTTTGATGAGAGGGGGAAACTCCACTCTACTGCCATAGTCAGGCAACTCCACCCCCAGCACAGGGTGAGTGTCTCCGTGGGGCTGGGTGCCAGAGGCGGGGGCAGGTCCCAATCTCTTGTCAGCTCCTGGAGGCCAGACAGACAACAACAGGCTGCCCTGCACCAGGACCCTACAACAGACACCTTACTGTTTAACTTTATGTTCATTCTGTGGGACTCCAACATTTTCGGGTGCGATGGAGCCCAACAGTTGGTATGGGCCGGGATTAAATTTTGGGCCAAACAAAAGTCAGATCGAGCCAAGCAGAGCTTTTTTTAACAATAGTTTATTCTAACAATAGCAGAGAGCTACTTTAAAGGTAAGTAATAAAAAATGTCCAATTTCGCCGAAATCATGGGAGACGATGATAGTCTTGTGACGGCCTGGCATATTTGCCTCATTTTGTTGTAATTTGTTAACTTTGAGCTTAAGCTGATTGGCCTTACTCCCTAAACCTGGCCCGTTGGCTATCACCGAATATTTGCTAGGTTGATGTGTCAACCGTATTTAGCAATATTGAATTTTATTTAACTTCACATAAGTCTCCAAGTGAACCTTAAAACTCATATTCCAATTCATCTCATTACTTTGTAACCCTACAATAATCCTAACCAGACGTCGTGGCTTGGCCGGACGTGCCTTGGAATGTGCTAACTTTGCATGCACGTGTGTCGCGATAAGCAATGTTACACTTCTAGACTCAGTTCCTCGCTTCAGTTAGTTTCATTAATGACAGTTGTGATCGTTTGGCTGCAGCACCAGACGGGCGAGTAAATTATGGGCTGAGCGCTCAGCGTGTGCTGATTGGCCGATGACGGTCATGTGACCACGCTGACGCTTCCGCTTGGGCGATGCTGAAGCCTCAGATCGTGCCGGAATGTAGCGAACGTCGGTAGGGTCCGCGCGGGCGGTCTCCCCTTTCTTTTACTCTTACTCCTTTCTTCTGTAAATCCGTGTACGTTTTTAAATTCATTATTGTAATTCGTATGTTATTCGGTTAGTCGCGGTTTGCTTTGTAAATTGTAATGTCTAATTTTTAATCGATGAAATTGTTAAAGATTAATTTATTTTAAGTAATAAAGTGTTGGCTGATCCCTATTCGCTTGTTTTAATTTTAATGTTCGTTCTTCCTGCTCCCAACCGCTACGAAGACTAGAAGAGAGGCTGCTGTGACATCTGGTGTCAGGTGTGGGGTTGACTGCGACAATGTCAACCTAAAGGTAAGTGGAATTAGGGATTTGCTTGATCAAATTATTTTACTCATAATAATTTCCAAAATTTAAAGTTTAGATGTTTCTTGAATAAAATATGTTTAAATCGATTAAAAGTAAAATAAGAATCATTTTTGTGGAATTTTCGTGAAGAAAGAGTTATTTTTCGATTTATTAGGTAATTTTGAAGTAAATAGAATATTTTGTTCGTAAACTTATTTCGCCATTGTACGCGTGACGTGATCTAGGATTCATTGGGTCTCTTTCCCCTCCCACAGTGTTGCACTCTGCTATTGTCTTGTCAGAGTTGTCGTGCGTTGTATGTTGCGTTGTGAATGAAGACGCCATATTGGAATATTTTGTTCGGTTGTTGGTGAACAATTGGTAATAGATACTTGATTAAAAGTTGCTAGTATAAGGAATAAGAAAGAAAGGGAATAAAGAAATAATTATTGTGGGAGGATGGGAAGCAAAATTTTGAAAAAACTAAGGTGTTTTGTACTTGTGAAAATTAAAAGTGGATGCGTTCTGCATCGATTCAAGATGGCCGCCGGGTTGGCTTGCTGTCAGGTTGTCAGTTTCATCCGCGGGATTTTATCCCGGATAAGGGAATTTTTAGACCTCAAGTGGGATAAATGTGGGATTATTTTTATTTGTTGTGAGGAATACCGCTTGTCGTTAAAGTGATTGGAAAACGGAATTACGTTGTTGATGTAAATATTATGAGTCATAAATTGAATATTATGGTGCTAGGCCTACTGTTGTTGAATAATTAGCAGGAGAAATTGAGAGGAAAACAAATCGTTGTGAAACATTTGAGATTGGCTTACTAACATGCATTTAGGCTAGTGGTAATTTACTATTCAGGCCTAGTCTGAGGTTAAGTTAAGTGGATTGAACTTGAAAGTGAGTTGGATGGTAAAGCCTGGGCGTTAATGGAAGAGCTAATAACTAGAATTGATTGTAAATTAATTAGACCTAATAGAGTTTAAAGGTTTGGAAAAAAAATAGATAATTAAGAAATTTATTGGTAAAAGTTGTTTACTGAATGTTTGTTTTTGCTCAATATATTGGCAGCATTACTGGCTTACTCCATTGATCAGGACAAAAGGCCCAACTCACTTGACAGTTCTGATAGCTTTAAGTATTATAAAAATAAGAACTGGATTTTGTACTTTATTATAATTGGACTTAGGAAATTTCCTGGAATCTTACCAGTGATATTGTGTAATCGTAAAATAATTTGGGGAAATAAATTATTTGATGTAGGCCTGCACTATCTATTGATTAAGGAAAGACGGATTAATGATAATCTTTGAAAATTTTTGGTTAATTACTTTTAAAAACTGAGAAGGGTAAAGCGAGAATTAATTGTTTTTATGTGATGCGTCGATGAAAGATTGCCTGGTTTCCATTATTTAATCCTTGACTGAGTAGGCAATGGGGTCATGCGTTTTGTATTTGTTTTTTTAAATTACTGAGTAAAAAGTTGTATCTGGAAAAGTGTTGTCATTGGCGGGATTTTTGTCCCCGCATCGGGATTTTCCCAGCATTGGGATTTTTCAAACTGTGGCAGGGATGAAACGGGTTTTTATCCCTCCATAGGGATTTGTTTTGATTTTTGTGGGATAAAGGGAATTTAAATTTTTTTTATGGAATGGGGATTTTTACTGACTTAGGTGGGAAGACTGACTGTTTGCGGTTCTTTTTAGTTCAAAAAGTCTTTAAAATGGTTGTCCCTAATGAAAGAATACTGTTTATTTAGTGTTTTTTTATATTAATTTAGATTCAGGACAATTTAAGTCTGTTATGACTTAACGGTATTTTTGTTTTGTGTTTTATATTTTACCAGTATCCCGGCCCCCCCCCTGACTTTTCTCTACCACTTCCGCTATAATGAGACTTAGGTGGTGTAGAGAGCGTCGCAGTGCGATAGTGGTTCGCACTCTTCCTCTCTTGCATGAGGTGTTGTAGGCTCGTCGGTTCATCGTTTGCACGGTGTGTGCAGTTTTCTCCCTAGGAGTGTTCGATATCTGGTTCACTGGGTCTTACCCGGCGGGAAGTAGGGCGAAGACTGGGATGGGGGAGGAAGTTATTTTCTTTAGTTACCTATTTTTTAAAATATTATTTTTGTTTTGTCGTAATTGCTGAACGATGGGTTCTCTCGAAAATAATGGAAACAGGTAAATCTGACCTTTGGCTAGTTAAATTTGAATTTTGGTTTTCTTATATTTTACCGGAAAATGAGTTTTATGGGACGCGGCAGGAAATTAATTTGTAATTTTAGGATTCGAAACGTGATTTGAGCCACTAACATTAATGTAGACAATAAGTGGCGAGGTAGGAAATATATATATATATATATATTTAGACAGCCTACTGGGTAGCGTGTTGGGGCCGCGGTAGGCCAATGCACCTAACCCAGGGATAATGTGATACGTGATCAAGCAGGTGCTCCTTCGGACCCGGTAGGGATCCAAGACCCTCTGATAGACGTGGGGATGTACAACCGTGAAGTGGGAATATTTTATTTGGTTTTTAAATTATAAGTTTAGTGAACAAAGCGGGGCTAAGACGTTGTGTAGTGTAAACAGGAATTAAGTGACATGTCAATTTGTTTTGTCCATGTAGGGCGTGGCGTGTTCATTATATACGTTCATTATATAAAAAAATGAATAAATTAATTTTTCTGTAGATAAATTGCATTATCCATAGAATAAACGTTAGTTTTGCAAAAGGTTGAGTTTCTAATGGGCCGAGGGAAATGTCACGATTTTGCTTGCAATGTTTGTTCGAGATGGGGGAAATTTTCTTTTGCCCCTGCTTTTGACAGGGCTTTACCTTAATCCGTGCAACAATTGGGATTGAGACGTGGCTAATACCTCGCCAGAGGAAGCTGGCGTGAAAAATTGGAGGAACCCTTGATTGGTTAAAAATAAACGGTCAAGCTGATGTTAGTAAAAGGAATTAATTCTTATTATTTTGATAAACTGGTTAATAGTTTGTGATAATTATATGTAAATTTATTCATATAGATGTGCACTGGATAATTGTTTTCGTTTGTTATACAGAACAGTTTTATATAGGAGTGTAAGTCAGGCCTTGCTGTTCTTGTTGACTGGGACACATGGAAACTCCTTGCTGCGGATTGCTGGTGGAGCAGTAGCTCGACACTGTCCCTGCCGATGGATCTGGTTTGATTAGTGTATAAGTCAGTAAAATAACCCAAATTAGTACCTGTAATTGGCCCTGAACTGAGTTGGGGTTGTCAAATTATGCTCGCTTTAGCCTAGTTGTAAAAGTAAAAAAAAAAAAAAATGGAACTTGCGGGGGAAAATTATTTCGAAAATGTGAAAAATGATGAAGCAGTTAGGAAAATTTTATTTTGAAAGGAAGTATATCAAGTATATTTCTGGTGTAGTTTTGGCTTTCCGTGGGTTAGTGGATTGGCGCATAGCCTGAAAAAATTTGTGCATTGGAGGATGCCCCATTCGGATATGGGCATCGTTCAATGGTGAGTGGTCAGCGAGGTAGAGGTGTGGTCTGAGCCTTAGGTGTTTGACCACGTTTGGGATTGCCTTGTTTGCCGCGCTGTATTACATTAGGCACGGCAACATGCTAAATTCCCTGTGGACTAGGTCCAGGTGTCGTGTAAGTGTTGTGTTTTTTTTTGGGTGGGGGACCGTTTATTAAGTCGAAGTCACAAAGTAAGCATGAGCTCCATTAAAGACTCTGCAAATTTGTACTGTTGAGTTAGGCCTGTTCATTGGCAGCAATTAACTCGTGTGGGACCCTGAGAGTCCTGGTACGGATGGTGTTTTTTTTATAAATGTAGGCGAGAAATCTTTCTGCCGGTGGTCCCCCTGTAACCCGGGTGTAAGAGTGTTTTTGCTCGTACCTGCATACGCTTGCCTAGCCT